AGCAAACTAAAATATTTATTGTTTTCATTATGTTTCATGCGTTATTTTCAAACTTCAGTATATTTAAATGTATTCATAAACTATATAATATTTTCAAAAGTTTTTTGTCTCTTTGGCTTTACTTAGCACATACTTTGATTTAAGACGAAATTTTAAGTCCCCACCCCCCCTCCATCTATTATGAGTGGCATGTGAAATTCACGATTTTCCCTTGAAACTGTTGTCTGATCGATGAATACATTCTTGCTTTACTGACTGAAAATTGTGGTTTCTCAGTTAACGTGTCTAACGGATTTATACTGCAGAGCCAGTAAAGGAAATTGTCAACATTAAACACGTTTAAATATAAAACGACGATATCTTCCTTAATTAAATATTGTTAATGCTCAAATTTCAACTGTTTACAAATAACGTCAAATGAACATAAAATTTAATTATTATATGTTTTGTTTAAGAACTATTGAGGAAAACAAGTATGTTTATAATTTCTGATATGTAACTAGATAAAGTAGTTTTTATACATCTTCGGAAATTCAAAACTAGAGACGCTAGGAGGTCACAAAGTCGTACCAATGATGTTGAATAAATTTAACCTTATCTTTCTGTATAAAGTAAAAAATGTATTTTTAGTTTTTGACGTGCTAACAAAAGGAAATTTACATTTGAATTCAAAATGGAGTCATAAGGTCACACAAATCCTGTTTAGTATCCCGTTATATAAAGATTTGGGTTGGTTGTGTTGAGTTTAACGTGCCATGCAAATAGTTTCTCTCAAAGACTAAATTTAGGGTTACGCAGCAATTTCCAGAAAAAACTTTTCCTATAATTAACAGTTCTTCCAAACAGCACAATGTTCGACTAGATGAAGTAGATGAAGTTATGGACGTCCTAGCACATACAGGGTGTCCCAGGAAACATGACATGGTGAATAGTTTTAAATGTCTTCTTCCTTAATTTGCAAAGTTCTTTAATACAAAAGAGAATGATAAAAAAACATCGCTTGGTAGTATTATTATTTCAAAGCAAAATATAATTGAGTAAACGATTTTTAGCAAAATGAACTGCAAAAATATATAATACTTGATATGGAAGAAGACATTCAAAATTATTCATTAACTGTCATGTTTCGTGGGACACCCTGTAGATTCAGTCTGGTTATAATAAGTCTCATCAATTTATAATAAAGGGTCGACTTTAAAGTGTCGAAACGACTTGGGCTTTGATTTTACAACTCTAACTTACTTATGCTTTTCTGTAGACCTTTACATGAACAGTTTAGCTCGATACATCACTTGTTAGCTTTAGCTTTAAAGAAGAAATTGGCAAAATTCTTCTCGATTTTTGATTGAGAATTTGAGACCTTTTAATCACAATGTCCTAATTATCTATATATCAGATATAAGAATATACCATAAGGAAGTGGTCAAACCATCATCCCTGAAAGTACGTCATGAGGTTTGACCTCTATTCATTCTGTTCGTTGGGAAGAAACGGCCTCTGTGATAACTGCAATAACATAGAGTAGAAAGGTTGTCGTCTTTGATCAGTTTTTGATTTAATACTGCAAGTAAAGTTGTCATAGATATAGATATAATATACAGGGTGTCCCAATAAACATGGGAATTCAGTGACGTATATCGTATTTTTGAATAATTCTTTGATTTAGTATAGTGATACCTACTGAGAAAGAGTTTCGTCTGCTATGTTCACATTTTGTTTGTTTATGTTTTGACTGCATAAGGGTGTACTTAAAACATGAAAATTTCAGTATACAAACAGAGTAAACTTGTCCGTCTTCACTGTTCATCTTGCGGAGACATTATAGACAAATCTTTACAGTCTTCTACCCTTTTCATAAAATAAACTCTAGCAGACGTAATAATATTATGACTCTTGAAACTAGGTATTACAATGCTATATATTATGACTCTTGAAACTAAGTATTACAATGCTAATTCATAACAAAGACGATATCCAATTCGTCTCTGAATTCCCATGTTTTTTGGGACACTCTGTACAACAGTTTTACCAATAAGTCATTTTCCATCGTTATATAATAATAAAGCTTTTTTTCCAAAAACAAATTTTAAGATTTTTTTTAATTTTACGAACAAAACCGGGCACTTGAGCTAGTCAATAATTTTAAGAGTAGATTTTTATCAGTAACGATGAACAAACACAAATATGATTAGAAGAAGCATGATTCATTTGGTTTACTGTGCCTTGTATTAAAGTCTATATGCTATACAATATACATGTTCATAGGGATGGATCGTCTCATTTTCTTGATAAACGATCGCTTCAAAAACCATAGTTTTTAAAAAAACTATCGTTTTTTTCAAATATTTGTTTTATAAAAGTTAAAAATAAGTGGTTCATTTTCAAAAACGATAATTTTTTTAGAAAACAAAACGATCGTTTTTGAAACGATCGAAAACGAAACGAAGAACGATCACTTTTCGACCGATTAACAACCGTGTATGAACATTGTACAGTGTACATACTGCTCTAGCTGCCTAAAAGTCGGGCCAATACTTCAAATGAATTGGGTTTCAGTGAAACCAAGAATTAAGGCTATTAAAGAAACTGAGTTTCTACTTCAAACTTTAGTTTTATTAATCCTTTTTTTCTGCAATCTTTTGGTGTGCACCATTAAAACTTAGAATTAAGATGATTTGATCTAACTGAACTCTATAGTTTGAAACTCTGAACTCTATAGTTACGAAATCGGGTTGCTAAGATATAGAGATTAGAAAATCAGAGTTTGTGTAAGAACTCAGTCTTAGAGAAACTAAGTTAATCAAAATCGGTCATAATTTTAACACAAGCTTAGGAGAACTCAACTTCTTTTTTGTTTCAATATTTTTTCTCAAGTAAAGAGAGCTCTGTGTTTAAATCTCTTGAAAACCGTATGATTTCCGGTAAAGCAAAGTAAACGCTGCAGCGTACAGTGTGAACGCAAAACAGCTGACCCGTTACTTGAGTCCCTTGACATTACCGAATAGTGTACATTAAAAGGGGTTTCCAAAATTCGAAGGAAAATAATTATTATCTGCCAATTCTAGAAAGTTAATATTAAAACTTATAACAGCTTTCAAACAAAGTGTTTAACAACTAAAAGTAGATTATTGAGATCAAGATCAACAGTCTCATGCTAAGCTAAAGGTGTCAAGGTTTCCGTTGTAAATCCCGGGTGTTGCCATCTTTGCATGGAAGGTTTCTTGAAATTACGCTTACAGTCCCATAACCTCGATCTATCTTGGAACTTATGTATCTCCCTCTTCCCACATAAATTTAAGCAATTCATAATACCCGGATACTGAAACTGTATGCCAAGTCCATTAGCGCCTCATCCAATCAGAGTTCAGTCATGTGTTTGTTGTCTATTCTGAACCAATAAAATAGTGACATCAATCTTTATATCTATCTTATTATCCAATTAGAGTTATGAATCTTTCAATGGGCGCTATCAGTAAATGGAAATATTTACATCTACTGAAACTATAGTGAAGGGGAGGTTTGTGAAAAATTCAAAGGAAAAAGTTTGATTCATTTCCATCCGATATTTACGTACATTGCTGACACTGTTAAAAGTTTAAAAAAAGATGTTTTTACAAAAAGACCGGATATAAATTTAATTTCACATGAACACTAGTTTCGGAACCCAGCGCTGACCAGGTTCGCCGTTTTACCAGACTTGAACGATTTTATGGGGAAACTAAATTGTTTTGATTAAATTCGACCAACTCAACTGAGAATCTCAAAAGCAAGCTAATTGGACATGCCCGTTGGTCTCCCGAGTTCCCCAATCAAAATTTGAGGCAAATAGGTCCAGTGGTTCCTAAGTTATGATCGGACAAACAAACAAACAGAGATTACAACTTTATATGTATATAGATGGACTCCTCTAAAATTTAGGACTAAGAAACCAAGTTGAATTTGTTTTTAGAATTTTAACCAGGACGGATGAACGATGATAAAATATATATGTGCAGGATGTCAAACAAAATATACCATTAGTTGACGCCAGAGATTATACTCTAAACCAATGTTAAAAGCAAATTTTATGCAAAAATTAAGTTTAAAGTTAATCAACGAGATTTTTCAGTGACAATTATATATATAATTGAGCCACTTTGAGCAATGAGTCTGAGTGCACTAAAAATATAATGAATTAAAGGGACAGACCGGCTATGTAAGATAGTTGAACTGAGTAAGCAGTGTTGTGAAAATCTTCTGTAGGATTCATATAAGACATATAAACTTTGGGTTTTCAGAATCGGTTTTTTAAAAATTACTTAATAACGACGACGAAAAATAAAAATCATACAGTAATCTAATTAGATGGCTGGGAACATATTTGGCAAAAGAAATTTGTCAATAAATCAATGCTAGAATAAATTTATTCGTTTTCATCATTATATTTAATTTCTTATTTTCTTTGAATTTATTCACAGATTTCTTCAAATTCTTCAAATGTCGTATTTTCAATAATAATTCAAGAAAATCTGCAGAAAATGTTTGTGAATAATGAGAACTAGAATATTGAGAAAATACAAACTAATAATTGAACAAGATTACTTATTTTCGATGATAAGATTAATTTTTATTTTCTCAACTGGTTTCTAAACCACTAATTAGTTTACTGTAGAGTTTTGTTTACATTATTTGTCGTCATTATTTGATAATTTAAAAAAACCGATTCAGAAAACGTATCCAACCCCAAAGTAGAAGTTTTGAACATCGAATTTGCGCTCAAACTCAAGATTTACAGATCTTTAAAAAGTTTTACATGTCTTAAATGAATCCTAAAGAAGCTTTTCACAACACTGCATACTCAGTTCAACTACCTTACATAACCGGTCACTCCCTTTAAAAATGCAAATATTTCAAGACACACTTGAGCCTGGAAAGTAAACAATAAATAATGTGCTCACACAAAGATCTAGGATAGTACAGGGGCAGTAAACAAGGGTAAACATTATATCCCTGCAATTTGTACAGACAGGCAAGATTGCACAGTTATTGGTTTCTCTTTTCTCTTTTCTGAACATACACAGACAGGCAAGATTGCACAGTTATTGGTTTCTCTTTTGCTTATTAGATTGAATAAAGAAAATTGTTGCGACCGTTATATCCTAGTGTTATTTTTAACAATGAATGAATGAAAAGTTATTAAGGAAAAATTGATTTTTTTGAGTTCTTGAATATGATTTTATATGAGAAAAGTTTTCGGTGGTTTTCATCTTAGACCTTTGAAATAATTTACGACATTTATTTGTAATCCAAATTAAAGTAAAATTCTAGAGTTAATAGTCTCAAAATACACGTAGCCTCGGCGTTTCCAAAAATTGTGTTCTGTTTTTTTTTGTGCTTTTGATATTATCGGAGATTCTGTTTAGATTTCAACAATTTTGGTTTTATCTTATAGAAATAGAAATATAAACGAAATTCTCAATATCTCTGGTAATAATGACTACACAAAAAAGGCAGAACACATTTTGGAAATTCCAGGACTATCAGAAGTATGTGGTTATTTTTAAATGACCATGTGAATAAAGGTAGACGACTGGATGCCTCAAATAAATTCTAAGATTAATGACGACTTTTTAACCGTCTTGCTAGTTGCTACTGTCATGTTTCGTGGAACACTCTGTCCACAGTATCGTGTAGGTCGATTTTTAAAGAATTTTCGAAAACTTAATTGCTTCAACCGGAGTTGTACGGAGCATAGAAATTCGAACAACTTAGGACGTATTTTCTTTTTAAGAAAAACATAATAAAAAACACAAATAAAAATAAAGTTCTCCGGAACATTAAATTGATCAAACTTAATCGCCATAAAAACCGGTTTTCTTCCGTGCAATATATAAACTTGAGAGATAAACGTCTTTTCGTACAAGCGTTAAAATATCCAATATGTTTTCTATTTTGCTAATTTGCTATTTTGCTATTTTGCTAATTTGCTATTTTGGGTGAAGCAAGGGGAATTTTTAAAATCGACCTCCCTTACAGTTTTCCGATTTAATTTTTTCATGATTAATGAACAAAGAAAGGTTTGCATTAAAGAAGTTGTAAACCTAATTGTATGTGATCTTCAATTAATTGTATGTGATCTTCAATTGTATGTGATCTTCAATTGTATGTGATCTTCAATTGTATGTGATCTTCAATTGTATGTGATCTTCAATTGTTTGTGATCTTCAATACAAAGATGGCAATGCCCGATTCACAGCAGTAACCATTCACGTAGATTCAGCCTGCTTATAAAAAGTCTCACCAATTTTTAAGACAGGGTCAACTTTGAAGTGTCGCAACACTTTGGCTTTGGTTTTTACCGCTCTAGCTCACTCTTGCTTTTCTGCAGCCCTTTAGATTTACGTCTCATCACTATAAAGCACTTGTTGTTAGCTTTGGTTTTTAAGAAGTAGTTGGCAAAATTCTCAACGATTTTTGCTTGAGGTCAACGAGGTTATAGTGTATAGAGTTATGATGTACGCCTATCCTTTACTAATTGTATAGGCCATAAACTATACCAAGAGCGTGCTGCATATTTGTTTCTTATAAGTTGATTCTGGCCTAACCATAATATATCAATAATAGTAAACAGTTGTAAGTGTACAGTACAGCTAACTGAGCACACAGGTAGAGAACTATCATCCCCCCTGCTTGAAACCTTTAAATCCCTGTGCATTAATTGACCAAAATGTGGAAGACAATACATTATCATTTTTATAGGTTTAAAAGTATTTAATTCCAATAATTCCTAAATGTTGTAATGCAGTACAGTGCTAGAAATGCACAAATCACTTTTGTATAGAAGCTACAATTGAAAATATTAAGTTTTAAAAATTATAAACATTATATAACTCATTCTTTATCGGACAAAGCTTTAAATTTGTTCATGCAGGGTCTCTTGAAATAACGCTTAAAAATATTTAGAAATTCTTATTGATTAACCCTTTGGTCGCATGCATTATGCATTGCATTGATTGGTATATATATCATCAAGATACAATCTCTTAATCTGGATTCGAATAAGTTTTAACGAATGCTAGTTTTAAACAATATCTGCAGGCTAAATAAAGAAATCAATTATTTTGCTAAGTAAATCAATTTAACAATTTAATCATTCACCTTGTATTGGTTGGAGGGGGGGGATGGGGCAGGGAACAGGAATATAGGGAAAGGAAATGGCGCTGGTCCGGCAAGAGAAAGACAGTCGCACTGCTTTGCAGACCAGTACAGTAAACTTACAAACACTCTTCTGGTACAGACACACAACATGACTACATTCAAGGAAATTGTAGAACAATGTCGTCGATTATAATTAAACTTGAATAACGAGTAGTTTATTGTAAACTTTAATCAAATTATATTCTTTGCATGAAAATTTGGCTTTACAGTGTTGACTTAAATATGTAAATAATATATTACATGTATATTAAACTTATTTCTAAGTCTAGTAAACAATTAACAATAAACAAATGTACTCTCCTAGGCTGTACAAATACCGAGATTCTTACGTACTGTATAAACCTACAGTACACACCTTCGGTACTTTAAACTGACACACACTCTTTTGGTACAGACACACACACATGACGTTTCCGACCCCTGGGATGGGGGGGATTCCTCCAAAAATGTCATCAAATAAAAATAGCTGAACCAGGATAGAATTGATTTCAATTAACCATACTATCCTTAACACCTTGCAATGTGTGTGTTTCAGTATAAATGATGGAGTCAATAAACTTTATAACTATTCTAATATACAGTGAGTGCTGTTTTTAATAAACTTTATAACTATTCTAATATACAGGGAGTGCTGTTCTTAATAAACTTTATAATTATTCTAATATACAGGGAGTGCTGTTCTTAATAAACAGGAAGAATATATTAACTGATTTCAACCTCTAATGTCGTATTTGGCATTAGAAATAGTTTGCGGCATTCATTTGGTAACCTTTTGTTTTCATGTAAAAGTAATCACAAAATTGGCCAGGCATTTACAATATGTTGTCTGTCTGTATTGCCCTTTTATAATTACTAAAGATAAGAATGATATCGTTTAGAATAAGTTAATTTTATAGTTTTACTTAGAACTTAAATCTAAACAAAATTTTTAATATCTTTGGAAATGAAGAAAAGATATTTCTATTCTGAAAGCTGAAGTCCAATTAAATCTAATATTTAGATTTGTGTTGAATGAAAATGAAGCAATTTATTCTGCTCTTCATCCTACCTTCAATACACACAGTTCCTCTCACTCCCCAACCCGGAGCTATTACTCTTCTCTCCTACCCCTACCAACCCTACCAACCTCATAATCCGTTGATTTCAGTCAACCAACCTGTCCCAGGAATTTATCAACCCGGGATTTATCAACCAGGATTAAATCAACCATCAAACTTATTTTCATCAAGGAATGATTTTATTTTAAAAAGTTAATTTAAAGTTTTACAACAAAGGAGATTTAGCCTTCAGGTTGAAAAGAACTTTAATTAACAAGACTGCAGAAGAATGTTTTTTTGTTCACTAAACATTATGAAATTTAAATCAGTAAACTCTGTTAAAAATCATTATTTTCAACTTTTTGCTTTAATCTTGATAAAAATTGTATTAGGTTTGTCATTTTTATTCTCAGTTACAGAAAATTATTGGTTTGAAATCTTGTATACAGTAATATACCAATAAAACTCAGGAATAGGAAGACGACCTGTAAAGGGACTGTACGCGTTATTTCATGCAAAGATTAAGATGCCTGATTTTAAAACGGTACCCTTGGGCCTTGAAACCTTAATTTTATCACAAGAATTGAAGAAACGGGTTGTTTTTTCAAATCAAAAAGTTCTAAAAGTTAGTCATAAAATTCAAAACTAATCTCACCTTCAAAGTATCGCAATGTCTTGGCCTTTGGTTTCACCTCACTCCCTTATACGTCTTGTTGCCGTGAGCCTACTTTTTTCCGTAGATGATATCTCTGTTGTTTCTTAAATGCAGAGAAACCACAAATAAAATTCAATAAAAAAACAAAAACATGGATATCTTATCTTATCCATGTTTGACCAGACAATGCTTCTAAGGGTACCGTTGTAAATCAGACAAAGACATCTTTGTATGTAGGTTCACTTGAATTTACTTTTACAGTCCCTGTAAGCAATTCATGAATTGCTGTTTTCATGCTAATTTGACTATTTAGTATTGTAACTACATTCTAACAGTCGTCTTCCATTCCTGAACTATATCATGTAGAATTAATTATACCAATTTTAACTAGAACAGATTCATAAATCATTGAATAAAGAATAAACCAAAACTCGGTTTTGAATGGCGGTGAAAATGCTGTGATTAGACCAGGTTTTCCGGTCTTTAATGGAGGAAATTTAGTTCCATATATCGACACCAGGGCTCTCTGTTCAGGCTGCAGGTTAGTTCCAGGAATTTTTGCTCAGGCTGCAGGTTAGTTCAAGATATCAGCACCAGGGATCTCTGTTCAGGCTGCAGGTTAGTTCCATGCATCGACACCAGGGATTTGTGCTCAGGCTGCAGGTTAGTTCCAGATATCAGCACCAGAGATCTCTGTTCAGGCTACAGGTTAGTTCCATGTATAGACACCAAGGATTTTTGCTCAGGCTGCTGGTTACTTCCATTCATTGACACCAGGGATCTCTGTTTGGCTACAGATTAGTTCCACATATCGACATTCGACAAGGTCTCTATGTTCAGGCTGAAGGTTAGTTCCATAAATCTCTGTTCAGGGTTAAGGTAAGTTCCAGATATCGACATCAGGGCTCTTTGTTCAGGCTGCAGGTTAGTTCCAGATCTATTGAAACCAGAGCCCGCGATTTAAAAGCTTCGGCTCGAGTTTTAATTCCTGAGACGCAGCTTTAAGACCCAGTCTTAGACCCAACTCTGATGACAGCTTGTGTCACGTGATTGACAGCTTTGAGATCTTAGGCTCGACTTAAGGAGTTAGGCCCAATGAAAATAAAACCGACCTTGGTTGGTTTTAGTGGAGAATAAGGCTCAAGGTTGGGTCTTATAAAATTTGAGGAAACCGATCAACAAATTGAGATTTTTAAAGTTTTTGAAAAAAGCGGAAACGGATCAAAAAAAGCGGAAACGGATCAAAAATTTGAGGAAACCGATCAGAAATATGGGGAAACAGATCAATTTTAAAGTTTTATAAAAAAAGCGGAAACGGATCAAAAATATGAGGAAACTGATCAAAAATTTGAGGAAACCGATCTACAAATTGAGATTTTTAAAGTTTTTGAAAAAAGCGGAAACGGATCAAAAATATGAGGAAACGGACCTAAATATATGAGGAAATTGATCAAAAAAAAGAGGAAACCATTCAACTCTAAATATAGCGGAAACGGATCAAAAATATGAGGAAACGGACCTAAATATATGAGGAAATTGATCAAAAAAAAGAGGAAACCATTCAACTCTAAATATTGGGAAACGGATACAAAATATTCGGAAATCCCTCATCAATTCTGAACTTTTGAGGGATTTCCTTGAATTTCTAAAAAAAAACGGAAATGCCTCAAAAATAATTTTTGATCCGTTTCCGTGTTGAGTCGTTTCCGTGTTGAGGCGTTTCCATGTCACCCTTTTCTGGATGAGTGTATGGTCTCATTCTGATATCCAATTCCTCCAATAAACATGATGATATAAAATACCAAATTTGTAGTAAAAGCCTGCTTTAATTGAGATTAAGAACTTTTTATTTACACAAAATACGACACTTTGTGACATTTGACTTAACCTTAATAGCTTAGGTTATCATGCCTAGTGTTTTTATTTTATGAAAGTTTTGGTTTAGAAAGCATTATTCTGATTTAAAGTGACTAATACTATTGTATTTTTCATAGTTGTGAATCCGATTTTGGTTGTGCATATAACTGCGATAAATGTTCTGCTCTTTGCTTGTCATGTGACTGTTCGACATCAATAGGAAATCCAGAATTTATAAAATTAAATAATTTATTTTGTCACCTTCCATAAAGTCACCCGACTATAGGGTTTCCATTAGAAACACTTTTGCGCAATTTTTGCGGAACGAAACGCAAAATTTTTCTTTCTTTGCGCGAAAAAAACAACAATTTGCGCAATCATTCGCAAAAGTCATTTCGCGCAAAAATTGCCCTATTCCGCTTTTGCGAAACTCAAGTTTTGCGCAATTCCGCAACTAGAGTTTTGCGCAATTCCGCAATTTCGTAAAAATCAAACGGTTGGGGACGGTGTGTGTTTCTTAGAATTTAATTCTGGAAAAATCTTGTTTTGGAATGTCTTCCTATTGGTCACTTTTACATAATTGACCAATGACATTTAAGAAGAGTTCAAATCTCACGGGCGCGCACCTTATTCACTTGAAATTATTTAAAAGGATTAAAATATTGACTAGTTTCACACTCTCTAATTTCTATTTTGTTAATTTTGGTCCCTTAATTTAAACTTTATGGAACTGGAAGTAACCTATTAAGTGTAGTATAATCGTTATCATACTCGTATGTTAATATTTTTTTCATGTATGGAATAAATCTTCAGTTGTTAATTCTATGCTTAGAATATCAATTTTTTACAATTTGCCTAAAAAGTTACATTTTGCGTTAAACTAGCGGTTTTGCGCAAATTGCGCAAAAAAAATTGCGCAAAACTAAAATTTCGTTTCATACGCAACTTTCTCAAAAAATATTTCCAGTTTTGCGCAAAAAAAATTGCGCAAAACTAATTGCGTTTCATCGCAAAAGTTCTCAAAAAAAATTTGCGAGAAAATAGCGCAAATTTTGCGCATAAGATTTAGCCATTTCGTGGAAACCCTACAACCGACCCCTTTTATTAAAGGGGCTGTAAACGTAATTTCAACCAATCCTCCATGGTAAGATAACAATGCCTGATTCACAACGGTACCCTTGAATCTTTTTTTATTTATTCACAGACAAAGGTATCCAATGTATATTATACATACATATGTAAATAGTGTGGTTTACATTTGTTTAGATATTTCGAATATATAGTTTTACAAAAGAAATAATATGCAAAATTAAGTCATAATAGGCAACATTCATCATTACTCATTACATAACATAATTATTATTTCAGAAATTACGTAATCATCGAATCGTTCAACATATATAAATTATTCATTCTTGTATTCTATTTTTCTTGTAAAATCGGAACTTTCCATGCATGGTCCAATTGGACATCATTTTTTTTAACTAACATTTTACTAAGATCAGACATATCTACAAAACAATCATTTGCAATAGTAAATAAATTTCTTCCAAGAACTGTGATGAAGTCATTTTTGCATAAATTAGAAAGAAATCTAATGCAAAGCTTAGAACTTGCTTCAATAGTCTCATAGAAAGACATATATGAACTGACTAACTTAGTTTTTGAAAGTAAACATTATTAAATCAAATACCTATGCGTATCTCTAGGTACATTAAAAAGATTTCTAATAGCTGTACTCCATGCTGTTTAACTAAAGTGTTTACAATTTTAAAACACTTTGGGAACTCAAGTCCAAACTACTATATGATCCTTAAAAACTACAGCAATACATATTATAGAGTTTCAAAATAACATCCATAATCCGGATTGTTAAAATAAAATTTTGGTTAAGGAAATGAATTTATCTGATCAATAATGTGGAAGATTGGTAAATTTTCAAAGTTTAAAATTGTTTAGTCATGCTAAAACCTCTACGTTTTTTTGCAGTAGAAATGCGCAAGTCATTTTTTTGTAGAGAAACCACAATTGAAAATAATGATATATAATTTTTACTTTAAATTACGATTACAGTCCCTTTAAAGGTTTATTTATTTCAAAATTTTTGGATGTGTTTAGGCTGCAAGTAAGTATTGATTTCAAATATTTAATTCCTAAGTTTGAAGCAAAAAATTCTTTTTGCTATAAATTCAAATTTATCAGATTTTTTGATTTCCCAAAATGAAAAATTACTTTAATTTAAAATATATAGATATAATTGTGATAAATGTGAGGAGAGAAATCAGAATCTAGACATATCTAATGGATCCCAAGAATCCCAAGATTCACAGGAAGGATCCCAAACACCGCAAAATTCTCAGGAATCTCAAGGCACCCCCGGTTCCCAAAGTTCCCAAAACCATGCCAGTTCCCAAAACCCTTCTAACTCAGAAGGTTCCCAAAGTTCCGAAAGCCCTATCAGCTCCCAAGGTTCCCAAAGTTCCCAAAACACTATCAGCTCCCAAGGTTCCCAAAGTTCCCAGAACCCTATCAGCTCCCAAGGTTCCCAAAGTTCCCAGAACCATATCAGCTCCCAAGGTTCCCAAAGTTCCCAAAGCCCTATCAGCTCCCAAGGTTCCCAAGTTAGTCCATTGTCTCCTGAAAAACTTGACTGTGGTTCACTGCTTAATACAGAAATAGGTAATAATTGTGACCAGTCGCATTATCAACAGTTGCAATTCGACACTTTGTGACACCAAATTTTTACAGGCTGCGTTTGGTCCTTATTATCATTGGTTTAATATTTTGACCTCCTGAGGTAAGTGACGGTTGGAGGTCAACGACCTCCAGGATCATCTCAGACAAGGGGTCTCAAATGGAATCAGAACACCAAAAACCCATAGTTGATACCTCACATGATTCGTTTTTATTGATTATATATTTTGACCTGTTTAGAGGTCATTATTAAAGAGAAGTCAAACTTGAAGTCAGATATATGTGTTTATTTTATTACAAGCCTGATGTGGCACAGGGTGTCCCACGAAACAAAAAACATAACAGTAGCAAGATGACTTAAAAGTCGCCCTTGATCTTTGAAGTTATTAGTGACATCCAGTTGTCAACTTACTTATTGTTAAACAAATCAACTAGTTCTAGCATTTCCAAAATGTGGTCTGCTTTTTGTGCTTTCAATATTGGCCGAGAAATTGTTGAAATCTGAACTAAATTCTTCATATCTTGGGTAATTTTGGATATCCCAGGGTTAGAAGTATTCTTTGATTATTATCTCTAGAATTTTACTTCTAAAATTAGGTTGACCAATCAACTCAGGAAATTATGTCAAAAGTCAAACCTGACCTTCAACTAAAAATATGGAAACATGCCTGATTACCTTAAAATAGTTGAATTTTTTTTTTGAGTTTATGGAGGTCAAAATGAAGGTCAATGACCTCTGAGCCCAAATTTTTTTTGTGATCTTTGTAAATGACGATAATTGGAGGCTGCATGCAAAATGTCCGCCTTTTATCTCAATTTTTAAGACCAAACGCATGCAGCCTGTACAAAATTTGGTGTCACAAAGTGTCGATATGTACATTGTATATTATTTTAATCATGTCATTGGGGCCCTAGCTACCATGATATTGTTTATATTTGTGTTTTTGGGGCCCTAGCTACCATAATATTGTTTATATTTGTGTCTTTGGGGCCCTAGCTACCATAAAATTGCTTTAGATTTATGTCTGTGGGACCCTAATTACCATAATATTGTTTTTTTTTGTCGTTGGGGCCTTAGTTACAATAATATTTTTAGATTTATGTCTGTGAAACCCTAGTTGCCATAACATTGTTTAGATTTATATCTGTGGGGTCCTAGATACCATAATATTGTTTACATTTATGTCTGTGGGGCCCCAGTTGCCATAAAATTGTTCAGATTTATGTCTCTGGGGCCCTAGTTGCCATACTCTTTCTCAGATTTTTGCCTGTTGGGCCATAGTTGCCATAATATTGTTTAAAGTTATGTCTGTGGGACCCTAATTTCCATAATATTTTTAAGATTTATGTCTGTAGGGCCCTAGTTACCATAATATTGTTAAATTATGTCTGTTGGGCCCTAGTTATCATAGTATTGTTTGATTTATATCTGTGGGACCCTAGTTGCCATAATATAGTTCAGATTTATGACTGTGGGGCCCGAGTTACTATAATATTGTTTAGATTTATATCTGTGGGGCCCTATTTACCATCGTATTGTTTAGATTTATGTCTGTGGGGCCCTAGTTACCATAATATTGTTCAGATTTATGTCTGTGGGACCCTAGTTGCTATAACATTGTTTAGATTTATATCTCTGGGGTCCTAAATACCATAATACTGTTTAGATTTATGTCCGTGGGGCCCTAGTTGCCATAATATTGTTTATATTTATGTCTGTGGGACCCTTGTTGCCATAATACTGTTTAGATTTATGTCCGTGGGGCCCTAGTTGCCATAATATTGTTTATATTTATGTCTGTGGGACCCTTGTTGCCATAAAATTGTTCAGATTTATGTCTCTTGGACCCTAGTTGCCATACTTTTGCTCAGATTTATGCCTGTTGGTCCATAGTTGCCATAATATTGTTTGAAGTTATGCTGTGGGACCCCAATTTCCATAATATTGTTAAGATTTATGTCTGTAGGACCCTAGTTACCATAATATTGTTTAAAATATGTCTGTGGGGCTCTAGTTACCATAGTATTGTTAGATTTATGTCTGTGGGACCTATAGTTGCCATAATATAGTTTAGATTTATGTCTGTGGGGCCCTAGTTGCCATAATATTGTTTAGATTTTTATCTGTGGGGCCTTAGTTACCATAGTATTGTTCAGAGTTATGTCTGTGGGGCCCTATTTGCCATAATATTGTTTAGATTTATGTCTGTGGGGCCTTAATTACCATAATATTGTTCAGATTTTTGTCTGTGGGGCCCTAGTTGCCATAATATTATTTAGATTTATGTCTGTGGGGCCCTAGTTGTCATAATATTATTTAGATTTATGTCTGTGGGGCCTTAGTTACCATAATATTGTTCAGATTTATGTCTGTGGGGCCCTAGTTGCCATAATATTGTTCAGATTTATGTCTGTGGGGCCTGAATTTGATCTATTTAAACCCACTACTTTTATACAAAATTGTATATATAATAATTTTCGTATAAATTTGACACAGTTGTATATCAATTTCTCGAGATAGGAAAATCAGATATAACTTTCATGGGCCGCGATTGAGAGCTAAAGTGATTAGTTTTCAGCCTATACCCCCTTTCATTTTTCCTTTACAGTCCCTTTAATCCCTTTATTAAGCTCTAAAATCTCTTTAACCAGCTGTATAAAGTATAATCCCTATGTTTAACTGAATAATTCCTTTATCTAACTGATAATCCTTTTATCTAACTGATAATCCCTTTATCTAACTGAATAATCCCTTTATCTAGCTGTATGCTCCTGTATCTAGCTGTATAATCCCTTTATTTAGTTGTATGCTTCCTTTATGTAGCTGCATATTCCCTAGCTGTTTAATCCCTTCATATAGCTATATAATCCCTTTATCAAGCTGTATACTCATTATGGCTGGTTGTATAATCCCTATATCTAGCTGTATAGTCCCATTATCTAGCTGTATAATCCCTATATCTAGCTGTATAATCCCATTATCTAGCTGTATAATCCCTTTTTCTAGCTATATAATCCCTATGTCTAGCTGCTTGTTTCGCTGAGTCCGGGCCAGCTGCCGGTGAACCGTGTGTATTTCCTTTTATTTATAACGGGGTCAAATATAATGGTTGTGCACCTCTTCATAGGTGAGTCGAAACAAATATTAAAATGTTAAAAAATAAAAACACTGTAATTCAAAAATAAATTCAAACAAATAAGTAATAGTAACTATTTATAACACTATTATTTTGTTTCACAAAGCTTTACAATTTTATGATCAGAAATTTTCTCTTTATCGAGAGGGTTCAAGCTTTTTTGATTATATTTTCTACCTGTGCTTTAGCGAGAAAATCCGAAAACCAATCGAAACTTTAAAGCACGGTTCTATAATTATAATATACATCTAATTCTACATTGTAGCACGATGATTACTTTATAACACAAAACACCAAAATAACACTTTGCTCCTCCTTTTATACATCTCGATTAATACTTCTTTTCTATAATCATGAGCATTTCCTTAAAAGCCTGTTTTTAGCGAAGACAAAGGTTTGCAGTTTTGGTGTTCAACAAAAACAGATGTGAACAGATATCATGTTCGAGGACCTTCAGATAACGCTGGAGTAAGTATTTTAAAAATCTGTATTTGAAACCCCACAGTATTTTTTTAAATTTTTTACACTTGAAAAGGAAATGAGTTTTTGCCACAACCTCTAATTTTTAACCCATATCTTTGCAACTCGATGTCGTGGAACTTTGATATTTCAAACTTTGAATTCTGTTATATTAAAAAGTCTTGAGTTTAAATATCAAATGTGTACGCCATCAGGTTGAAAAGATATTGGGATTAGAACATTTGAGGCTGTGGCAAAAACTCAGTTCTTTTACTCCCTAAGATGAAGATTGAAACATTAACATAATTTAAAGTGACTCACCAGTTTACAGAGTTAAATGCCCGAATCATCATTAAAACCTTTGTCTGTTCAAGTATGAATTGGATATCCATGTTTTTGTTTCTAAAATGGATTATTTTTATTTGTAGTTTCTCTGCAAAAATAACTTGGGCATATCTTGCATTTGAAGCAATGGAAAAATTATCCGAAATAAAAAATTTTTGAACTTGTAAAACGAAGTTATCTTCCACATATTAAAGAGATGGTTCCAAGGGTACCAAAATAAATTAGGCAGATCCCTCATTAAGCATATTTTGGCTGTATAGTAAGATTATTAAATAATGCGAAATAACATGTTAACATGTTCAATTCATTTTGCGTGTACATTTACAAAGAATAGTGAATATCTTAGCATATTCATTCTTCGAATTTAATCAAAAATCTTAAACTCAAAAGTGCCTACATTGGATATCGTGATCAAGTGTTAAAGTTTAACAAAGTTCCGATTATTGAATACATTCTAGAAATATATCAGTTGCAACAATTAGAAAATAAAAAATCCTTAGCAATATGTATGATGTAAAAGAAAGGACAGGGTGTCCCTGTAAAAATGGGAATTCAGTGACGAATTCGATATCGTCTCTTTAAATAATCCTTTGAATTAGTATAGTGATACCTACTGAGAAAGCTGCAATCCGTAAAATTTTCGTCTGCTATGTTTACAATTTGTTTGTTCATGTTTTGACTGTATACGGTTGTAATTAGTAAAACAAGAAAATTGCAGTATGCAAACAGAGTAAACTTGTCCGTCTTCAATGTTCATCTTGCGGAGACATTATAGACACAACTTTTGCAACCATAATTACCGTTTTCATAAAATAAACTCTAGTATACATAATAATATTATGGCTTTTGAAATCAGGTATTACAATTTACAATGTTAATTCATAACAAAGACGATATCCAATTCGTCACTGAATTGGGACACCCTGTATAATTATTCCATTGTTTTTTGGTCCCCACTGTATACCAACTTAAACTTTAACAAATCTAAAATTTAGAAATATGTTGGATTCTGTAGTTCATCCTGTCCTAAGTCGCTTCCAACATTCTTCTAGTGCACGATGTAGATTGATTATCTGGTGGAATTACTTAGTAATTTAATTATTTGTATGCATTTACAAATTAGCTTCTTAAAGTAATGTGCGCATGTTGTTTATGATTTTCTCAATGTTAAACTTGTAAAAGTCACTTAATAAAAAAGTTTACTATACATTGTTTACGAAAAATAAAAGGGGTTCAGGCTTTTTTTTTACTTTTATCTGTTGCGTATTAGCATACAAGGAGAAAATGGTTCAAAGTATTAAACAGAAGAACGTAAAAAAGCCCCGAAGTTGCATTATTCCACTCAGATAATAAATTATTTTTATTAAAACTACTCTTTCAGATGCTAACAATTGTCGAATTCAATTTGATGAATTCGTATATATATTCGTTGGTTATTGGTATTTCATAATATATTTATTTTACATGGTCTATAATTACTTTTGAAATCATTAATATTACTGAAATTTCGATTATTTTTAATAATTGCTACTGCTATGCCTTTATTGTTTTTGACTAAAAAATGGCAAAAAAAATACAATCCCCGATTATGTTCATGATTTAAAAAAATAACTTTTTTCTCCTATCAATAGCCTAATTATATGAATATGAATACGATTTTTCATTTAACACATCTCGAATTAAAACAACAAATATTTTGTCTTAACTATGTAATTTGTGGCCATTTAGGACAGATTTTCAAAGATTCAAGTTTATTACGGTAATAAATATTTTTTAAGTTATTAACAATTTGTATATCATATAATGGCAAATAGTGAACAATAACAAAAAAGGATAAATAATCTTCTTCTTCTTTTTCGTCTTCTTCTTCTAATTCAATTTTACTTTAAACTGATCCTCAACACATCTAAAATAAGATTATAATATAGAATAAATAAATTGAAAAAATCTGATTTTTTTGTTTTATAATTACAAATGATGAATGCCTAGGGCAATTATTTTTGTTAACAAGGATCCCCTGATGGGGATGAACTTTTTGTAACACAAGAAAATAATAGCATTTGAATTGCTTTCTGCAGAATCTATTAGTTAAACTAAATTAATTATGAATTTATATTGTGTATGCTGTAAGCTTGGTTAATCGAGTTTTAAAAAAAAGTTTGAGCTTTGTGTGTACAAATGCTAAAATTTAATGACAATATTTTTTGTTTCTTCGCCATTTTTTCTTTTTTTCTTAATTTTAATTACATTGCAAATTTTCCAGTTTTTTAAGTTTTGATTGTGAGATATTAATAATTCAAACAAATTTCAATGCAAAATTTCAATTTCGCCGGCGCAATGACAATATTGGACCTGATCGGTTCAGATTTTGCAGACACGTTTTTTGTACAATGGATCGAAATATCCAAATAAGCCACAATTATGTATATCTAAAGATTAATAACATTTACTATTTGCATTTTTTCTCTTACTTTGTATAGTCTCCAGGTTTGAGTGCATTATAAGGGGTCTGATAGCTCACAAGTTTACATTCGTACTCTTTCACCCACTCCCTGCAATTCATTGACTTTTAAAACTATATAATAAAGCTCTTGGCTTATGTTTGAATATATTTATATGTTAGCTATAGCTAACCAAACGGTTGGACCATATGGGCTCACATTTTTTGAGGTCGAACCCATGGGTGCCCGGGGAGTAACATTGGCTAAACAAATTTCGACATTTTAAATTTTTTTTTATTCCAAGAAAAAAAAATTCCACGGGTAACGCCGGGCACTGAGCTAGTTTTTTTATCTCGATCCCAAAACTTTTTTTCTGGGAGAATCCAAGTTCTGGATGACTCGTCCCGGTAAGTATAAAGGGAGCCGGATCCGGATAAATAAAATGTATACGACTTATCTATCCCAGAAGATGTTCTGTAGAAATACTGATCCAGATAAAATGAGATGCAAGAGACTCAAATTTCCACATGGATATGAACAGGAACCGATTAAAAAATGAAATAGGTTGACTATTTCATTAGTTATACAACGAGCCGGATCCGGTAATATAAAATCCCATTCGGAGCCAGACCCGGAAACAAGTATGTATTAATCATGCAAGAATCCGGATTGAAATTCAAGCAGTTTTGCTGACAATTGCATCCGGATCCGAATACAACTGAAGTGTATAAGACTCACCTATCCCAGTAGATAAACAAGGAGCCGGTTCCTCCCTTAGAGAATTGTTTCATGTGAGCACAACTTAATTCTTCGTTGCTGATATCAAGCTAAATAATGAAATAATATTATTTGGTTAACTTAATACATTATATAGTGACAACTATAAAACTCTGGAATAGGAAGACGACTTTTAGACTCAAGTCTAAAATATCCCAATATAGAACTTGAAACACATCAATTGTGCAATAAAAACAGACCTATTTCACTATGTAATATGTTTCTTCTATAAATATCCTTTGTAACAATATTAAATACACTTTAATATCGTCTTCCTAATCAACAATTGTCTGGTTCTCACTATAATAGTCGAACAAAGAAAATGGTTTTATTTAAAAAGCAACTTACCTTAAAATATTCAGCAAATTTTCTATAATAGTTTTGTCTGTTTATTGCTTGAGGTTTTTCAGATCCATGCCCGCATTCTATTCCACCATTTATTATCATAATGGTTGCTCCAAATCCTGGATTAAAGGTTTTGTAATAAAAATATAAATTTTTTTCCGGCTTTTCCCTATGATTCCCCCAACAGAAGGAGGTTATAGTTAATAAATGTCCCTTGGGATAGTTGTGTTAAATAAATACCCGCTTAGCGAAGTTTTCGGGAAAAAATTAGATTTTAATCTCAAAATAACGCTGGGCTGTTGATGTTTTGTAAGCAAAAATGGTATGAAGAACCCTTGGTAAAGTTAAATTCCATTAACTTCCCGCTGTAAAGTACTTGTAAATAATTTTTATAATCTAAGATTCATAATGGCCCCCTTCATCTCTGTAAAAAGTCATGGCGATAAATTTTCACTTAATTTTAATTCTTTTTTCAGCCCGGACAAGAAAGTGAACTGTGGAATAGGAGGACAACTTTAAAGGGAGTGTTTTATAATATTTTTTAGTTACTTTGTTTTGAATTTGATTATTTCTCTTGTTGCTTGCGCAACTATCTAAGAATGCCGCGAACCACTCACAATTTTCGAAATCCGTTAAAACGTTTTCTAAACAAATAAAATATTGTAAAATATAAACTATTTACAAATGTGGCGAAAGATAATCGATGTCTATAGGTTGTAATATCTGAATGATTTGTTTGAAATTAAACTTATTTTTTATGGTCTAAGTCATATGTTGTAATTTTCTGAATTTGTATGGGCGCTAAGTTATTCGGTATGAGACGTCTTTAACAATTTTCTCCTTAAAGACGCAACTGATAGAAGTCAAATTAGTTGCGATCAAAAGCGCTTTTTTATCGCATTAAGCCTATACCCCCTTTCATTTTTCGCGAACACTCCCTTTTTAAAACTATATTTACAGTGTATTTGATGATAATTGTAACTTAAAAATCATTGGAAAATTTAAAATCATAATTTGAGGCTAAAGATCGCTTTTTATTCTGGTTCTCACTGCATAACATTGATAGCAGGGGGCTGGATCTTAGCTACCTCTCCGTGTGTATTAGCCTGAGTGTACACTTGGGATAGTTTACTGATAAAAGGATATTAAGAGATTATGGCCTATTAATACAGTACAGACATCAAATATGCAGTACGCTTTCGGAGTACAAGTGTACGGGGAAGTACTGTATCTTGAATTTTACTCAGTTTTCTCAAAACAGTTTATTAACAATAAAATATTGCTCTGTAAAAGGCTGTAAATGTACGTCTTCCTGTGAAAATGTAATCCTGCAAACGATAAAGGAGTAGTGAATTTTAATAGTTGCATGGAAAACAAATTCTCCAATTAAATATTTTCAGAAATCACCCCCAAGTATACTGTAATATGCAGATTGACCTTTGGAAGTGAATTACATGGCCTGTAAAATAAGTAAAGGATTAGCGTACATCATCACTCTATATACTATAACCTCGTTGATTGACGGTGATGATAATTGTTGAGAACATATTTTGCAAAAGAAAAAAGGTTTGACGTATTTTCAATTCCAATTTGGGGGCGGTATACCTGGTTCAAGCTTATTATTCTTGTCTTCTTTGTTTGGTGTCCAAGTACCATCAATCACGTGCAACATACTAGAACATACAGTGGGGCATATTTAACTGTGGAATACGAAGACGACGGAATTGCACTCAACAATTATGATCAGAGATTTACCCATGGTTTTGAGGTTCGTTTGGAAATATTCATAATATTTTGACTTTATAAGTGTTCCCCACGAATCTGAGATGTGTTTACCCTATTCTACAATTATATGCTTTACTATAGCTGAAGGGCCCGGCGTTGCCCGTGGAATTTTATAATCGAATTTTAAAAAATCTACTTTCTTATAACCCATGTTTCCTCCAGGGACACCCATTTGTGTCCACAAAAATTCTCAGCTCATTCGGTCCAGCCGTTTGGCCGGGTATAAGGAACATATATCCGAATGTCTTGTTTTATCATATAGAAGAAGATTAGTTTGCTTTTATTAGTTAATACAAAGTTTTCTTCGATCAAGGATATTAACAAAAATATCAAAATAATTTTAAAAAATGATTTATTAAAATGATTTTGTATAATGTAATAAAAGCAAACTTTTTAAACCAGGAAAATCATTCCAGATTTTTTTTCTTAAAAGTTAAAAAGTTTGAATGTTTAAAACGGACATCACAACGGTGCCCGGGCCGGTACAAATTTAGTAGAGCATTCCTTATCCCTAACTCTACTAGATGGGAAAACAATGCACAGACAAATTTCAAGCTACTGTCAAAACGTATCGTATTAACAACATAATATATACACTGTATTCTTTTTACATTCTCTTGTTTTTGAAGTTTAAACTTTATTTTATTGAAATTTCTTGTTTCAGATGCCTTGAAGTTGGTCTTTGATGTTTCTTGGGGAAACTTTACTTTTTTTTACAAACTTTAAATTTCATTTTACATAATTTGTTTAAAATATTAGATATTCAAATATTCAAATATTCAAATATATAAATAATGCCCTTGAACGTTTAAACTACATATAAGTGTTAAAGTGTTTATCTATTTTTTATTTTATATCATTTTCTTCTTTTGAGAAGCGTGCGACCCCTTTAAATAATATCTTGTTATTTTAGTAACAGTCCTTTAATAATATCTGAGGATAATACCTGAGTTTAAGAGGTTGAGGATAATACCTGGGTTTAGGAGGTTGAGGATAATACCTGGGTTTAGGAGGTTGAGGATAATACCTGAGTTTAGGAGGTTGAGGAAATACCTGGGTTTAGGAGGTTGAGGATAATACCTGGGTTTAGGAGGTTGAGGATAATACCTGGGTTTAGGAGGTTGAGGATAATACCTGGGTTTAGGAGGTATAGGATAATACCTGGGTTTAGGAGGTTGAGGATAATACCTGGGTTTAGGTGGTTGAGGATAATACCTGGGTTTAGGAGGTATAGGATAATATCTGGGTTTAGGAGGTTGAAGATAATACCTGTGTTCAGAAGGTTGATAATAATACTTGGGTTCAGGAGGTTTAGGATAATACCTGAGTTCAAAATTTTGAGGATAATACCTGGGTTCAGAAGTTTATAATAATACTTGGGTTCAGGAGGTTGAGGGTAATACCTGGGTTTAGGAGGTTGAGGGTAATACCTGGGTTTAGGAGGTTGAGGGTAATACCTGGGTTTTGGAGGTTGAGAATAATGTCTGGGTTCAGAATGTTGAGGATAATACCTGGGTTTAGGAGGTTAAGGATAATACCTGGGTTCAGAATGTTGAGGATAATACCTGGGTTTAGGAGGTTGAGGATAATAACTGGGTTTAGGAGGCTGAGGATAATACCTGGGTTCAGAATGTTGAGGATCATACCTGGGTTTAGGAGGTTGAGGATAATAACTGGGTTTAGGAGGTTGAGGATAATACCTGGGTTTAGTAGGTTAAGGATTTAATCTGGGTTTAGAATGTTGAGGAATATACCTGGGTTTAGAATGTTGAGAATAATACCTGGGTTTAGGAGGTTTAAGAGAATGCCTGGGTTTAGTTGGTTGAGGATAATACCTGGGTTTAGGAGGTTGATGATAATACCTGGGTTTAGAAAGTTGAGGATAATACCTGGGTTCAGAATTTTGAGGATAATACCTGGGTTCAGAATGTTGAGGATAATACCAGGGTTTAGGAGGATGAGGATAATACCTGGGTTTAGGAGGTTGATGATAATACCTGGGTAGAATGTTGAGGTAAATACCTGGGTTTAGGAGGTTAAGGATAATACCTGGGTTTAGAATGTTGAGGAAAATACCTGGATTTAGGAGGTTGATGATAATACCTGGGTTTAGAATGTTGAGAATAATACCTGGGTTTAGGAGGTTTATGAGAATACCTGGGTTTAGGAGGTTGATGATAATACCTGGGTTTAGAAGGTTGAGGATAACACTTGGGTTGAGAATTTTGATGATAATACCTTGGTTTAGGAGTTTGAGGATAATACCTGGGTTCAGAAGTTTATAATAATACTTGGGTTCAGGAGGTTGAGGATAATACCTGGGTTTAGGAGGTTGAGGATAATACCTGGGTTTAGGAGGTTGAGGATTATACCTGGGTTTAGGAGGTTGAGGATAAGCATAAAACCATGTAGCTGAAGCAAGATTCAACCAAGTTGATGCAACAAGATCAGGATTCTCAAGTAGTCTAGATTCAAGTAATTTACTTTACGTTGGTAACCAAAGAACTGTGGAAAAAGAAGGATTAAGTTATGATCTTGAATTGGCTGATGAATATGAAACCAAAGCAATTTTGTAGAGTATAAATGAATGAGTATGAATGAATGGTAAGGAATTGAGTTATGCAACAAACTCTGATTTTAAATTTTTGTTCCTATTTGAAACCCAATGTCGTAGACCTACGATATTTCAAACTATAAATTCTGTTAGATCAAATAATCTAGTTAGAAGGTTTTCACCATTAAGTGGCAAGGGTATATAAATTAAACAATTTGAGTTTGTGACAACAACTTAATTCCATTGCAAGGTACATATCAAAACTATTTGCTGTACAACAACATCAAATACACATCAGATTGTTTAAATGTCGTCTTCCTATTCCAACGTGTTATGAACTGGTATTTCAAGTTAACACATTATCTGCCTCAATTGTTCCTCACAAGTTAACGTTGGAATTTGAATAACATCTATTTTTTTGCATATTTCATAATTCATATGTTAAAGTTCAAGATTGTAAAGTAAAAAGATAACCAGAAACAATGTAATAGGAAGACGACATTAAATCAATACTGAAGTGTATTTGATTTTGTTATGAAGAAAATAGTTTTATCACAAACTTATCAAATCACTAATTTAGTGAAATAGGTCAGTTTCCACTGCACGATTGTTGTGTCTCATGTTCATTGGACTTTTTAAAGTTATAACTTGATTCTAAACGTCGTCTTCTTATTTCAGTGTTCGCTGGTTATCATTATAGTAAAAATTAACTCTGTAATGTTTTGGAAGTTACTGGCTCTAAGAGATTAGTCAGATATCAACAATATTTTAGAAGTTACTGGCTCTAAGAGATTAGTCAGATATCAACAATTTTAGAAGTTACTGGCTCTAAGAGATTAGTCAGATATCAACAAGATTTCAGAAGTTACTGGCTCTAAGAGATTAGTCAGATATCAACAAGATTTCAGAAGTTACTGGCTCTAAGAGATTAGTCAGATATCAACAAGATGTAGTTTTTCTATCAAACTACAAACCACAATGAATTAAAAAATTTGTTTAAATATGAAAATTTTCTGGTGCTAAATATTTTTTGGGTTTCCTTATTTTTAGTCAATTTAGCTGTGGATTGGTTTGCAAGACAATACCACATTTGATTTGAGACAAAATTTAAGGTTTTGGTAAAATTCATTTAGTCTTTATAGATACGAATTAGTTTTGATACAAAAAAGTGTTTGTCCCCAGAATTCATTTTAATAAAAAAAAAAAATTAGTTTTTAATATTTGAGCTGAAAAGACAACTTTTTACAGCAAGTTTATTTGTTATGTGAATAAGTTATTTTTCACAAAAAAAAAGCCTGAAAAGCAGGCCTTACGTACTTATGGACATCTCCAAACATCGCATCCGAGAATGGTCCATAGTTGAAGTTGTAAGACAGCTGTTTAGCTCCTCTTCCATAATACTTCTTCCAGGAACCACTGTCTCCGCCGCACGGCCAGGTTTTACCCTAGATATTTAGATGTTCCCAACGTTCCAAAGATATTTTCCCAAGCGACAACTTCCCAAGGGTATTTTCCCAAGCGACATTTTCCAAAGTGTATTTTCCCAAGCGACAACTTCCCAAAGGTATTTTTCCAAGCGACAACTTCCCAAAGATATTTTCCCAAGCGACAACTTCCCAAGGGTATTTTCCCAAGCGACATTTTCCAAAGTGTATTTTCCCAAGCGACAACTTACCAAAGGTATTTTCCCAAGCGACAACTTCCCAAGTGTATCTTCCCAAGTGGCAATTTAATTCCCAAATGTGCAATTTCCCAAGTCTGTACTAGGCGCAGCCCCAGGTATCTTAGTTAAATGGCCACCTTAAAATACATTTGGGAAATTGCATATTTAGGAAGTTGCCACTTGGAAGGTTGCCCTTGGGAACGTACGGGGTGTCCCAATAAATTATATTTCAACGTATGAATATATGTGGCGTTTAATCGCTCCTCATAAACAATTTCGAAATTTACATATCGTATATTTGATAATGTTCTGTAGAGTATGAAAGTATTTGTTGAGAACCAATTAGCAACGAATAATTGCACCCTAACTACTGAATGTTAAGGTTGGTTTAAAAAGAAGATTTGTTTTAGTATGAACTGTGATCTAAAATCTTTAAGAACTCCTTTTTACTTTTTTATATTACATGTCAAATATTTAAAATAAAGATTTTATTTAACTTTGAATTTTTTCTTCCATTTTTCAAAACTGAGGTCAAAGTTTGAGTTTTGACATATTTTAAAATTCTCTTTTAATATTTATTAATGTATAAAGTTTAAATATTAGACTTAAATCTAGGTTTTCTAATTATTTTTACTCTGTCATATTCAGAAAATAAAAACTATTAAACGTTTATATCTATATATAAAGTTGTAATCTCTGTTTGTCTGTCCGATCATAACTTAGGAATCCTTTGACCGATTTTCTCCAAATTTTGATTTGGGAACTCGGGAGACCCACGGGAATGTTTTTAGCTTGGTTTTGAGATGGGTAAACGATGGGACTAATTATGACTACCCTGGGCAATGCTGGGTTCCCAAGCTATAGTGTCTAAATAAATGTATTTCTGTAAAAATATGATAATTATTGAAGAATGAAAAATGTGTACTATCTTCAATCTTCATATTTGTCACAAGAGAAAAATATTGTGATGATAAATTGTAAAAGAAAAGGAGAAAATCTCAGAGTACATCTACTCAAGCATCATACATAGCAAACAAAACCTAATACTAAAACTTTTGTATTCTGAATCCATATATAAATCAGTATCTTTATTATACCCTGAGCAGTGATAACTGAAATGGAGTGAGCCAGCACTTATCTCCAAAATTTAAAAGTTGCCCCACAAGATATTGAGATCAAGCGTTCTGGATTCTTTCACACAACAGTATGTTCCTCTGGCTAACATTTGTAAAATTTAACACGACAAACCTGCCAAGTGCTTAAATCACAAGCAGAATCATATCCACATCCTGGACCAGTCTCCTAAATAATATCTATAAATATACTTTGCTTGTCTGGGTGGGTGTTTGTCTGTTTGTATCCAATAAACGTTCAAACGGCTGAACCGGTCAGCCAAAACTTTTTGTGTGACCTCACATGTATAGTCCGACATGACCCCCAGGGAAGGTTTATGGCTACCTATTATTACGAAAAGTTGCCCTAAATAATTTAGAATTTTCGTTAAATTTTGAAAATCCAAGAAATAAATTGTAAATCCGCGAAAATGTTATTATTGTTTAATAAAAAATAAATGGTAAAAGATTGAGCAACTATTGAAAGTTGTAAAGAAGATATTCTAGTTTACTTATAATTCAGCTTCTGGGACTATGAATGCATAAAAACAAAAAAGTCAATAATGTTTGTTCAGAGGACATAAGTTGTAAGCCTAATCTTGTAGTGTCTAACTTTTAAAGCTAAAGCGGCCCGAGTCATATCTTGATCAGCTAGAGTCTATTTTTAGTCTCAAAAGCAATAAATGTCCCGCGCAGAATCAATTTTTTCTCAAGTTTCTTTTTCCCGGATCTCTACAAACTAACAAAATATTCTTAGACACTGCCATGTACATATACGTACATATCATTAAATTAATATATAAAGGTTTTCAGTATAACCTCTAATTTGCTGTTTGGTTCTAAACAAACAATTAGGTTTTAATTAGATTGTTTTAAAGCTTTTTCCTGTTGCTTATATTTGTATTTCAGTCAACATATATTATTTCTAAAAATCTAAACTTAAAAAAGAATTATTTTATCTTTATTTTTACCTGACATCCAGCCTCCCTCAGAAATACAAGCCCTTGTCTCCACTCCTCAGCTTCACCATGGGGATTATGCCCTCCTGTTTCCTAAACAAGTATAAATTTATACCCTCCTGTTTCTTAAAACAAGGGGAGATTTTTACCCTTCTGTTTCCTAAAAAAAGGGGAGATTTATACCCTCTGCTTCACAAAACAATGGGAGATTTATACCCTCTGTTTCATAAAACAAGGGGAGATTTATACCCTCTGTTTCATAAAACAAGGGGATATTTATACCCTCTGTTTCATAAAACAAGGAGAGATTTACCTTACTGTTTTGTGGAACAAGTCAAGTAGTACAGAACTTTATTGGGCTTAATCTTTCGTAACCGTATTCATAAATATTCAGATTCTGTTTACCTGCGTAAAATGCGCAAACATGGTCGCCAAAGTTTTTCTGCAAATTAAGTCTGAATCTCTTCCATCAGAGTAGGTTCCGCAAATTGCTGGGAATTTGCCAATTGCTTGCAAAAATCGTCTGCAAATACATTCAAATTTTAAGCTTTTTATCTTAATTCATCTAACATTGTAGTAAGTGTAGTTTGAATTCTCAACTGTTGTTTCAATTGTACCAATCGTAAACTAAAACATATTTACACAAATATAATTATAGAAATAATATGTTGTATATCCTTTTGGATAGTTTTTTCTTTTCTGTCTTAAGATTAAAACAACGTTTTTTGCGAAATTTAAAAATGTTATATTTCACTTCAGGCTTTTGGAAATTTTGGTGATATCCATTACAAGTAAATTTTTTAAAACATACAATTCAAACTTTCCTTTAACGAGGCATATAAACACAAAGTAAAGGTTTCTACATTTTTAATGGTGGGAAGGAATTAACAAAAACATTTAATTAAAAAAATGTCTGGGTGTCTATCTGAATACCTGTAAGAGTAGTCTGGGTGTCTATCTGAATACCTATAAAAGTAGTCTGGGTGTCTATCTGAATACCTGTAAGAGTAGTCTGGGTGTCTATCTGACTATCTATAAAAGTAGTCTGGGTGTCTATATGAATACCTTTATGAGAAGTCTGGGTGTTTATCTGAACACCTGTATGAGTAGTCTGGGTGTCTATCGGAATACATGTATGAGTAGTCTGGGTGTCTATCTGAATCCATGTATGAGTAGTCTGGGTGTCTATCTAATTACATGTATGATGAGTAGTCTGGGTGTCTATCTGAATACCTGTATGAGTAGTCTCGGTGTCTATCTGAATACCTGTATGAGTAGTCTGAGTGTCTATCTAATTACACGTATGAGTAGTCTCGGTGTCTATCTGAATACCTGTATGAGTAGTCTCGGTGTCTATCTCAATCCATGTATGAGTAGTCTTGGTGTCTATCGGAATCCATGTATGAGTAGTCTGGGTGTCTATCTGAATCCATGTATGAGTAGTCTGGGTGTCTATCTAATTACATGTATGAGTAGTCTCGGTGTCTATCTGAATCCATGTATGAGTAGTCTGAGTGTCTATCTAATTACATGTATGGGTAGTCTGGGTGTCTATCTGAATACCTGTATGAGTAGTCTGGGTGTCTATCTAATTACATGTATGAGTAGTCTGGGTGTCTATGTGAATACCTGTATAAGTATAGTCTGGGTGTCTATCTGAATACCTGTATGAGTAGTCTGGGTTTCTATCTGAATACCTGTATGAGTAGTCTGGGTGTCTATCAGGAAATAAGTATTCCCAATCATTACTTTTGAGTAGTTCTTCAACCCTCTTAACATTCTCAGGATTGGAATTGGATTCTAAATATTTGATTTTCTTTTTCTTTTTCGAATCTTTGTTGTATTACTTTTTATAAACAAAAACTTCTTTATAACTAACAACAATAAAGTTCTTATATAAAAAATACAAATTATATATTTCATCGAAATAAAATGTACAAATTTGAGAACTAATGAGGTGCCGCTAATGAAACCTTATAAACAAGTAAAAGATTGTTACAAATTTTTCTAAACAATTGTATATACGGAATTTTTCGATCCATCTTTTATAGACTTTCACTGAAAAAGATTCCTTTTTAAATCTTATAAATCGTTCTTTAATTTTAGTTTAGGCTTTAAAGAAAGGGGATAATGGCAAAATCCAAATTAAATTAGGAAATGAATCATACTTTTTCATCTGATGTTCGAGTATTGTTTTTTATCTGATGTTCGAGTATTAAGAAAACTATAAAAAAATTTTAAAAATCGTTGTTAATGTGAGTACTTTTAAGGGCAATACTACAGCCGCTAGATGTCACTGGTTGGAATTTTGAGCAAACGATGGATTTCACTGGATACCTCGCTGTAAGCAACAAATATTTTGTTGTTGTTGCAATTTTCTAATTAATCTAACATCAGATGTAAAATTTAAATTCAGCCCAGTGCAGTATACTTCAAATAAACCGAAGAACCTTTATCTTTTTGGGAACATTCCCCTCCCTTTTTTAAGTATAATGTTCATTATTTCGTTATGTAGAATGCTGACAGCAGATAAAGGACTAATTGGCTGCTATAAAGTGGAGAACTTTTTTAACTTTTTTATTTTGTGAGAAAATTTACCTGGTTTGATATTGTCTACTTGTGAAGACTCAAGTGTGGCAATACTTTTTTTAACCATTTTAAACAGGTCACTGTCTGTTAATTCTTTTTCCCTTAAAAAAGAACAAAAATGAAAAATCCATAATCGAAAGTTTTGATAGAATTTGAAACAAACCTTTGTTCTGCATGTTGTTTTGAAGGAATCTCTCCTGGACTAAGATGATGTGACCCCCCGACATCAACTTCATTATTTTCAACTTCTTTATCGTCTTTAACAGTTTCATCAACAATATCTGTGTTAGTAGATTCAGCCTCTGCTATGTTATTCTTGTTTTCATCTGTGTCTTCCTGAACAAGAAAAGGGGTTAAAGATAACGAGGTAATAGTATATATAGAGTGATGATGTACGCTAATCCTTTACTAATTGTACAGACCATGTACTTCACTTCCAAAGGTCAATCTATATAAATTAAAGTACTCGGGGGTGATTTCTGAAAATATTTTAATTACGAATTTGTTTTCCATGTAACTATTAAAACCCATGCTACACCATTATCGTTTGCAGGATTACATTTTCACAGGAAGACGTACATTTACAGTTTTTTACAGAGCTATATTTTATCGTTAATAAACCGTTCTGAGAAAACTGAGTAAAATTCAAGATACAAAACCTCCCCCATACATTTTTACTACGAAAGCGTACTGCATATTTGATGTTTGTACTGTATGACTATGAACAGGCCATAATCTCTTAATATCCTTTATCAGTAAATTATCCGAAGTGTACACTCAGGTTAATACACACGGAGAGGTAGCTAAGATCCCCCCCCCCCCCTAGGTTAAAGGGACTGCAGCGTAGTTCTAAGTAACCCTCCCATCTCCGTGCAAAGACAGCAATGACAGCAATACCCAATTCTCAACGGTTCCCTTAATAGCTTTGTCTGATTCAGTTTGCTATGAATTAGATACAAGGTTTTTAAATTTAAAATCTGATTATTTTTTCATCGTTCTTTCACTACATTTCCACTACAATTAAATCTAAATTAATTCTAAGAATTTTGCACCTGTAATCCTAAAGAAAGATTTCTCGGATACCACTATAAATCGCGGCCATTACCATCTGCGTATGAATGTTTGCTTTCAATTACGCTTACAGTCCCTTTAAAAGGGCTACAGCTGAAATTTTAGTTTTCTCTTATTTTAAAAGTGGGATGTTCGATTCAAAACCACATTCATAAAAGCTTTGTCTGATCAGCTATGCAGAGATCGATCCATCATAAAAGCTGTGTCCGATCACCTATGCACAGATCGATCCATCATAAAAGCTGTGTCCGATCAGCTATGCAGAGACCGATCCATCATAAAAGCTTTGTCCGATCAGCTATGCAGAGATTGATCCATCATAAAAGCTTTGTCTGATCCGCTATACGGAGATCGATCCATCATGAAAGCTTTGTCCGATCAGCTATGCAGAGATCGATCCATCATGAAAGCTTTGTAGGATCAGCTATGCAGAGATCGATCCATCATGAAAGCTTTTTGATAAAGTTTTAAAGGATACCGCTGGGACAGTTAGGTAAAATAACCACCGGCTCAACGAAGGTTCAATAAAAAATAAATCTCGCATTTTCATCTCAAAGAAGGATAAAATTGTGTAACATATACTTTTTTGGGAAATTGAAAATTTTACTTAAACACGTGTTCCCAAGACCAATTTTGTCTACAAAACATCCTTCGCTGCGCTCTGGATATTTTCCGACAAAATTGGTCTTGGGAACCCTTGGTAGAGTAAAATTTCCTTAACTTCCCTGTAAAGTACTCGTAAATAACTAAAGACAAGCCTGTGTAGATGCACATGAAGAGCCAAGCACCCTCTCCCCCATGTAAAGAATCAAGACAAACCTGTGTAGTAGATGAGCATGAAGAGCCACCCCCCCCCCCCCCCATGTGTAAAGAATCAAGACAAACCTGTGTAGTAGATGAGCATGAAAAGCCTACCCCCCCCCCCATGTAAAGAATCAAGACAAACCTGTGTAGTAGATGAGCAAGAAGAACCTATTAGAGTCCAAACTCCCCAATCATTGTCTTGATTAGGTGCAGTTCCGCTAGTCCACCATTTAGCCTGTAACAATTAATTATTCATTTTTTCTTAAAAACTTCATAGAAACCTACACGCAAAACGATTTCTTCAGACCTAAATTAATAACTTCAAAACTAGTTAGAAAAATAATGATCTTAACTTGATAATTGTAAACTGTAAACATTTGAAATATATTTTAAAATTAAACTGGAAATTTCACATTTGAATTTTGTTTTTTTGGGGGAGTTTTTATGTGTAGGCATTTAAACTTTTAAAAATTATCTCAATTTAATAGAAATATTGGATTCGAATTGTTATATTTCTGAACGAAATTTGAAACACTTTTTTTATAAATTAAAAATAGTTTTGATTGTAAGGAAAACATATTTATTACCTGGAAATAGTTTCCTTGAAAACTAACTTTATCTTCTTCCAAATATATTTCCTTCTCATTCCATTTCCTGTTAACAACAACAACATATCGAATAAAATTTCCTGTTTACAAGATGAAGAAAAAACAGGAAAATAATATATTTAATAGGTTTTCAACAAAATAACGTACAAATGTACAAAACATCTCAATAGGACAAACAATGAGAATGAGACTATTGTTTCTCTGTCTTTAAAAAAAATATTAATTCTCTCAAACTTGTTATTGATTTTGCTGCTGCATTTATCGGCAGGCTACTTTTTCTAATAAAAATTATCAATTTCTGAATATACAGAAAACTCAATTTTTTTATCAGTTTGAAAGAATGTGCTTCTAATTATTGATCATATTTATATTAAACACAAAGTGTTAATAAATGCAAATGTGACTGTTAACAATTGTTCAAATTGTCTTTGTACCAATGGTCATTAACAGTTAAGATCAAAGAAAAATGGTAAGCAAGATCAGCACGTGTATAACAAGTGGTTTATAAGGTACACGGCGCAACACAAAACGTTGGGATTTATGCCTTTTAATAATCCTTTTGTGGTAAAGAAAAAAAGACTTCAGAAACGAATTGGAAAAAGGTTTACTGATATATTGTATTTTTTACCTTTAATTAAAAAAAAAATATTCTTAAAGTTAAAATACACAAAGTGTTAAAATATTGATTTGTATTAAAGTTTTATTAAAAATGTTGGGATAAAGCATGAAGGTGCTGAGTTACTAACATGAAATCAAAAAACGAATTGGAAACAGGTTTACTGATATATTGTATTTTTTGCCTTTAATTAAAATAAAAATATTCTTAAAGTTAAAATACACAAAGTGTTAAAATATTGATTTGTATTAAAGTTTTATTAAAAATGTTGGGATAAAGCATGAAGGTGCTGAGTTACTAACATGAAATCAAAAAACGAATTGGAAACAGGTTTACTGATATATTGTATTTTTTGCCTTTAATTAAAATAAAAATATTCTTAAAGTTAAACTACACAAAGTGTTAAAGTATTGATTTGTATTAAAGTTTTATTAAAAATGTTGGGATAAAGCATGAAGGTGGTGAGTAACTAACATTCAATCAAAAAACGAATTTTCAACATATTACCGAAAAAATTAAATGTTTAATTAAACATCATTACTTTTAATTTTTTTTACAGAATTAATTTTGACAAAGAAGTTGAAAATTCATAAAAAAAAATATTCTAACAGAAATAAAGAAATAAAGAAATAAAGAAAAAATCTAATAAGAAATGATAAAGTAATAAGGCTAAATGACAATAATTGAGATTGTATTGAGAAAAAATGTAAAGGGGGTGGGGTGTCAAATTTTCTACCTGCACTCAGATCTCCATAATGGGGCAAGTTTGCTCAAGAATTCTAAAAAATATGTTTTTAAGATTTTAGGATTTTATTTAAAAAAATATTTTTTTTTCCACAGAAAAACAACTGACGAGTCACACAAAACAATGTATCTATTATAAAAAATCGAAATTTGAAATGAAATACATTTTCCAGGATGATTTAAGAGGCTACCTGAGTAATCAATGTTTGTGATGTTTACATCTTGAAAGTTGTTTACAATCCCAGGTTGTACAACTCTGCTGTACACTTGCAGTACACTTAAATAAAAACGTTACTAAACCATTGTAAAGAAACGTAACAACTTGCTGACGAAAAGGCAACAGGATTTTGCCTAATAATCTATTAAAACGGAAGGTATAAGCAAGCCCAATGCAGCTTTGAAATCTTGATATCTAAGGCTTCAAAAAATGTTAAATGGTTACAGGTTAATTATATGTTTATGTTAATATTCAATATTATATTCCAGGAGATAAAATGCTCTCACAATGTTTCCGAGAAAATTTACAATTTATTTGAAAACCAGAACCTTGGATATTTGGTTGGTTTAATTTTATATTTTAATTTAGTTTCAACAAAATTTGATGCCAGGCTTCATATATCTTATTACAACAAAGAATATACCAACGTGTGGTGAAACCAAAACCTTTTTAGAGTAATTTCGACCTAATTTATTATAATCATAGTATCCTATTATAATTTATTATAATTATAATAATTTGGACCTAAAATATTTGCTCTGTCTAAGGTTGTTATTTGTTTTGGTTCGCTTTTAAAAAACGATTTAATGAATTTAAGCCGCGTCTCAAATCCCTCACAAACCGGTTTCAATTGAGCGCCGGCTTAAATCTTGAAAAATTGAATACAATTTTAATTGGAACCAACCATAATTGAGCCCCAGCTCAAATTTAAGCCGCGGCTTAAATTCTTTAAATCCGGCCTCTGGAAAAGTTTGCCTTCATTAAACTTTACAATACTTTATCCTAAGAGAAAGTAAAAAGGAAAACAAAAAGAAAAAAAAGATTTTTTGGTTAATTTTTTTGCATTAATTTGGCAAAGTGTAATAAAAGCAAATGTTTAGAATACAAATCTTTATAAGGAAGTCGAATTGAGTCTTTGTCACAAACTCTGATTGTCAATTCCCTAGATCTCTGGAACCAAATGTCGTGGACATTAGATATTTCAAACCCTGTTAGATTAAATATTCAAAGTTAAAGATATAAAACGTTTACATTATCAGGTTGCAAGGATATAGAGATAGAAAAAATTATGTTTGTGACAAAGGCTCAATTCCTTTAATTATTTTATCTAGCTATATTTATATGCAACCTGATGGTTCAAACATTAGATATTTCAAACTTAGATTATTTAATCTAACCAAATTCATAGTTTGAAATATTTAAGGTCACGACATTGAGTTGCAAAGAGGGAAAAGAAAATCAGAGTTTGTGGCAATGACTTAGTTCCTTTGTAAAACTTGTCGGTTTTTTGTGGAATGTTTGTAAAGTGCAAAAAATCTCAAAAACGAACCCCAAAAAGAACTAAAAGATTAAGGTTCTTCTATTTTTTGTGATTTTAGCGTGTTTTAATATTTGCCTGATGCTAACTAATGCTAATCGTATTAGCATTGTAGAACAATATTATCTATACTAAAGATAGTTTCCGTATCCTCTACATTTAAATATATTTTAATTATTGAATTCTAAAAATCCAACAGGTGGCCGTATCGACATACTTTTCAGTGCATTGTGACTCATTTACTAATAGTCTGACCTGACTGATTTAGGGGCGCTAAGTGTTCTTTTCTTAGTAACAATTTTGTATTTTAAATATTGCTTTCCATAGATTCCATGCCACCATTTTTTCTTCGTTTTATAAGAAAAGCTAATTGAATTATTATACAGATAATTTTTCCAGTTTTTTTCTTTTCATTGATTGATTTAAGAAATATAATTTTAAAAAATACTTTTATTCTTTTTAAAACTTTTTTTGACCGGTCTTGTAAACTTAGTACAATCAACCCAATTGAAAGCTTAGTACAATCAATCCAATTGTAAACTTAGTACAATCAATCCAATTGAAAACTTAGTACAATCAATCCAATTGTAAACTTAGTACAATCAACCCAATTGTAAACTTAGTACAATCAACCCAATTGTAAACTTAGTACAATCAACCCAATTGTAAACTTAGTACAATCAACCCAATTGTAAACTTAGTACAATCAACCCAATTGTAAACTTAGTACAATCAACCCTGGCTTAATTAAAATGTAAAAATTGTGCAGTTGAAATGGTTTTTTAATAATTATATCTATCTATCTATCTAGCTAACCCAATTGTAAACTTAGTACAATCAACCCAATTGTAAATTTAGTACAATCAATCCAATTGTAAACTTAGTACAATCAACCCTAGCTTAATTAAAATGTAAAAATTGTGCAGTTGAAATGGTTTTTAAAAAATTATATTTATCTATCTATCTATCTAACCCAATTGTAAACTTAGTACAATCAACCCATGACATAACTCTCAAAGTATTGGACTACGGCTGTTCAAATTGTTTACTTTTCTACCTAGCCCATGGATTTAAATTCATACTGCCTAAGTCTCCAGGCATACTGCCTGGCAGCCTGAATGCCTTATTTTACCTATACAACATTTATTAATCCACATTTAATTGGTCACTTCCAGTCATTGGATATAAAAAATGCACAGCAATTTTAAAGCCTTAAACAAAAAGAAGCAGATTGTACAATTTTTGTAAAACAATTTTGCATATGTTTTTGTTCATTTTAATTTTACTATATAGTTTACTGTTGAATTTTTGATACATTTTTCGTCGTCGGTAGTTAAAGATTTAAAAACACATCGATTCTCAAAATGTAACCACCCAAATGGATGATTTTGAACGTCAACTTTGCGCTCAAACTGAGTAACTATACATCATTAAAACGTTTTATCTGGCTCAAATGAATCCCGAGAAATTTCTCCACAATACTACATCCTTAGTTCAACTACCATACATTGGCGGTCACTCCCTTTAAAACATCTATAATAATACGAGACAATGTCCAAAAATGAAAACTAAATTTAGTTTTCTGAAAATTTCAAGCTTTGTTTGGCAAGATTAGAATCAAAACCATACATTTCATGTGTTGATAAGAGTGACTGACAAGACCCAATCGGAAAATAATGAATCTATTTTATCTATTTTAAATGCGGTTACTTTCTGTTTCTTTCCCTTCATTACAAAAATAAAAACACACAATTTTCAAAAAAAAAGTTTTCTTAGTTTCATCTTAAACTTTTATAATGAGAAAAAATTGCTTCTGAGCAATTTTTACATTACAAGGAAGAGACTGTGTACTTACCTATGGAGGAAGGGCTTTACATCACACCACTCCCCCCCCCCTGTTATGCCTAGCATTGACCTCTATATATAACAAGTATAATTAGAGTAGAAGGATTGACATAGATTTGAGGGTAATTATACAGTAATTATACAGATCTTGTCGAAAATACAATTAAATTATATATTTCAAGGTCTGTGATATAAACTAGAAATAAGTACGTTTAATAAAGCGTTTAATTTATGTTTATCATAAAAAAATATTTTTCCACTACGGACCTTAACAAAGAAGTACAGGGCGTCCCACGAAACATGACAGTTGGTTAAAAGTTAAAAATGTCTTCTCCTATAAATAGTTAAAGTTGTTTGATACCAAAGAATATAATAAAAATATCAGATGTCGTTATATTTTAGTAAAATTGGAGTTTAAAGCAATACATTATTGAGTAATCGATTTTTTAAACAAAATAAACTGCATAAAGTCTTAAATTTGTAATACATTCTATGTCAGAAGGCATTCAGAACTATTCACCAACTGTTATGTTTCGATCGTTGGACACCCTCTATAATCGGTAACCTTGTACAGGGAAAATTTGGTTATTGAGTGAAGATATTGATATCGATATCAGAAATTAAAGGCAGCTCAGTAAACATTTTTTTGAAAAAAGAAACATCTTATTCCAATTATTATACAACATAGGATTTAAGAAATGAATCAGATTTTGCAAATATTTTATTTCATTCCAGTTTTAGTTGCATTAAACCAAAATTAACTAATATCCAAAAGCTTTGCCTAATTTTAAGATACATTGTATTCGCTAAAGGAATTGAGTTTTTGCCACAAACTCGAATTTTCTAATCCTTATATCTTGGCAACCTGATGGTGGAAACCCTTGATATTTCAAACTTAGGCTATTTGATCTAACAGAATTCATAGTATGAACTATCTAAGGTCTACGAAAGTGGGTTGCAAAGATATAGGTATTAGAAAATCCTAGCTTGTGACAAAGACTCAATTCCTTTGATACCATTTTGGAAAACTCACATAGTTAAAAGATAGAAAGATAAATTTTATTGCTATCTATCTAACTATCAACCATGAGTTTTCCGAAAGTATCAACTGCTGACTGTTGCTTAACTGCTCTTCTAGAATACGTCATTAAAGGGACCGTTCACTTATTTGGGTAATTTCAGGTTAAACTAAACAGCCTATTCGCTGTTGATTGGTTTTAGTCTTACTTTTCAAAGACAACTGTGGCCGGAGAAAAAGCCGATTTTTCGTTTAGAATTTGAGCGGAAAGAGACGGTCCCTCTCTATAGACACTTGATGTTTTTTTCAGTATGTTGTGGATCAAAATAAATTTCGAATATAAAATTAAACTGTAGTATCTAATCGTTAATTGTAAATGTCATTATTTTTTTTTTTTTTTTTTAACTTTCTATTTCTAAAAAATCACTATTTTATCGCATTCAAATTGTGTATTGCCTGTGTAAAAAGAACGCGGCATGAAAAATGAAAAGTTGTGCATATACGGGAACAAAATCTACAAAATCTACGAACCAAAATACGGGTCGTCTTTGTATACACATTTTACATGTTTTAATACAAAAAACGTAAATTTCTTGCTAACTCAAATATCAAAAGTTTTCATATTTTAGTACATAATAACAAACACATAATGACATTAAAATGTAATAAATTTAAATGTTATTGGGGTGGTGTTACTAAAATAACTTTATATGTGTCTATAGAGAGGGACCGTCTCTTTCCGCTCAAATTCTGAACGAAAAATCGGCTTTTTTCGACCACAGATGTCTTTGAAAAGTAAGACTATTACCAATCAAGAGCGAATAGGCTGTTTAGTTTACCCTGAAATTACCCAAATAAGTGAACGGTCCCTTTAATTTGAAGCTCAGCTGCAAAGATTCGGAAATTCAACCATTTTTTTCAGCCAAGATTCCAAAGTAATTCTAAGCATTTAGATAAAGAAAACAATACTTATGCCATGTAATAAAAAGAAAACTGTATAAAAGGAAGACACCATTAAAGTGAAGTGCTGTAGATGATTTTCCAAACTAAATAATTTCACTAGAAAGTTATTAAATTATTTTAAAGTAAAATGGGTCTGTTTACACTGAAAACTTTCTGTGCCATTTTCATTGGACTATTTTAAGTCATAACCTAGGCCTAAAAGTCGAACTTTCTATTCCTAATTATAATAAGTCAATACAATTTTCCATGTTGAACTAAAACCAATAGTTCTTTCTTTTTGCTGAATCTGTTTTGATTGGTATACTGTTCTTGACACTAAACTAATAATTGGTTCATAATATCAACTTTCAAGGAATTCTTATTTCAAATAGATTGTTTTGAAAAGTACAAACTTTATGAAGAAAGTTCAGAAGCTAGTTTTCTGCATATACTGCATCGCTACTTGAATCCCTAGTTACCTGAATACCTGAATACACAAACGCATACAAATTATGTACGCTCAGCAGATCCTCCCCCTCCTCCACCTTGTATTCCCCCCTCGTTACCTTTTCCCTGTTCTTCCCCCCCCCTCCACCCTCAACAATGCAGTACGGTTAAGAGAGCAATGCAGTACGGAAATATAAGGATTTGTAGCTGAGCGTACAAAATTTGGGTGTGTTTGTGTATTTAGGTATTCAGGTAATTAGGGATTCAAGTAGGGATGCATATACTTTGCTTGTCTGTCTGTTTTATTTAACCCTATTCCCGCGGGGGTAAGTACCCCAGCGGGGATAGGGTTAAATGTTTGTGTCCAATAACCGATTGGGCCAAACATTTTTGGTTGCAACCCACATGAAATTGGAAATGGTTATTGTTGGTCAAATTTTATGGATTGTGCATAAAAAAGGTTGAATAAAAAATATTTAGAAACCATCAATTAGAATTATTATTTTTATAATTACAAAGAAAAAAACATTTACACTCTAAAACAACTAAAATAAGAAGGGCCCTAAAAGTTTTGTTATACAATATTTTTCTAGTGTATTAATTTGTCTTTTTGTTTGTATACAATAAACGTCAAAACGGTTGAACCGATTAGACCCTAATTGTTATGAGGCAGTTCAAATGGTCCCAGAAAGGGTTAGGAGAACACTAACCTTTTCTGGGGTCATCTGAACTGCCAAAAAAAAACAATTAGGGTCTCTTGACTTCTATTGGTACGCTTATAAAAAAATCCAACAATTTAAACGAAAAACCCGCAAAAAATTGCATTTATTGGAGTACGGTAAAAAAAAATAACAAAGTTAAAAGGTAAAATTGTTACCAGAAAACAGACACATATTCATCTTATACAAATTTTAAGGAAATCACGAAAAATAAAATACACATTCACATTTCTAAGTTTATTATTCTATATGAGATTCAGTGCAAACACATTACTGATTTAATACTTGAACTATTTACAGGATTTGTAAAACTTGTATAAATTTTTTTAATTCCTGGCTTGGGACAGCTTTACATGTATTTCTTTCTTTGAAGACTAAATTGAATCATTAGGCTTTCATGTTAGCATAAATGTCTTATTTTTGCTGTTAACTCTGTACCATGTACATGTCTTTAAATGGTCAGAATCGAACATCAGCATTTGAAGTTGTCTAATCGACTTTTTCTTTTTGGGTGTTAGATGAATATAATAGAATTAACTTAACAAGAACAAGGATAGAAAGAAACGGTGTTAGAAATAGAACAAGAAGGACATCTAGTAGATAATACTGGTACCAAAACAAATTCAAGGATTCAGGCCTAAAATACAATAAAATTATGAAAGTAAGGAAATTATGAATTTTAAAGTAAAAAAATCGTTTTTTGATTTTTGAACAACATATTCGATGTTATCCCCCGGGTACCCATGGGTTTCCTAAAAAATGTCCGCCAATATAGTTTAGCTATTTGACCAGCTATAACTAACATATAAATACAATGAGTGAAGATCTTTATTATATATATGAACTTAAATGGTTTAAATGATAAAAACTTACTTGAAAAAGCTGGCTCCTTTATTTCTAAGAACAAATTCTATCCACCAAACTGCTCTCTCCAACGGGCTTTCCTTCTCATCTCTGAAGAGTCTTCCTAACTTTCTCATCGAGCTAAACATATTAAATATTATAAAATCTTAAAATCCAAACATTTGAGAGGTTTTTCAGTTAAATTGTACAATGTACTAAATAACAATAGTATAATTGTTTTTAATAAAAATCTAAATTTTTGGAGAAAGGAAAAAAAGGTTTTATGTTTTTTTTTAGACAAGAGGCAAATAGGTATCATAACAACCCTCCAAACAAATTTAAGCCATTTCTGTGACAACTAAAATACTGCAATCATAAGTTTAAAGGTTAAATACCTTTTCATAGAGTTATTCTTCATTGCATTGGAGATTGCTGCTACTAAAGACTCTGTAGTCAAATCATCCCAGTTTAACTGTTTAGCTATGTTATGTTTAGATGCTCGTCCAAGGTTTGCAAATTGGTCCGTGGCTAAAGGTATCCCGACCATAACTGTTTCAGTATGAAGCGCCTCCATTACACTAAGCAGACCTCCATGGGTCACAAAAACTTTAACATTTGGATGTGAAAGGATCTCTTGTTGGGGAAGCCATTGTCTAACAAATATATTATCAGTGACATCTGTCAGGTTTTCATCCCATTTTAGAATTACAGGAACATTAAGATATTTGAATGAATCCATTAGAATAGTTATCTTCTCAGCAGACATGAGGCTTGTTCGTATTGCAGAGCCAAAGGAAACATACACGGCACCGTTTACCGCTAAGTCTAGAAACTTCTTTAGATCTTTTGGGAGAGGTTTTTGTTTTGAATTGATGTGTATTCCACCTACATCAACAACATTAGGCAAAAGTGGTTGAGGGGTGTGGGTGATAAAATGACTGTTGCTCAGAATCAGTGCTAAGCGCCTTTCTGCAATCTCAAACATTGTTGGGCCTTGATATCCAATTTGTTTCCGCATGCTTGAGGTCACTACAGAATCTGCAAAGCGTCTAAAAATTAGATCCATAACGTGATACATTGCAAAGTTCTTTGCCCGCTGGAGAAAGCTGGTCGGATCTGAGAAATCATTAGTTAAAACCGGTTGGTAACTAGGGTTGAACGGGTTACCCAACAGCTGTGTGTGGCTGGGAAATGCTCCTGGAGGTGAGAAAACAATGACCGGGCAATCAAACAGATCTCCGAAGTAAAACCCCCAGGGGTTGAAGGTCAGCACAAGGTCAAAGTTAGAGCTTGCCAGTGATTTAAATGCTGGGGTTTGAAACATTCTTGTTCCTCCGGTTATGATGTTTTCCCATTCAGAAAACATGGTGATCAGGTGGCTTGGATCCAGGAATGTTCTACCTTTGTTCTGATTTCCAGTGTAGAGATCACTTACACGATCTATCATAGCTCCGTAGAGATCAGGAATAACAAGCTCAGTATAGTTATTATGCTCTACTCCAGCTGAAGCATAGAACACACCCGTTACACTGTGCCCATTTTCTAAATAAAGAAATTGAGTCTTTCATAAACTCAACTTTTCTGATTCCTTTAATGGTGTAAACTTTTGATATTTTAAATTTTGATTATTCAGTCTAAAATAGCATTCATATTTTGAAATATCTAAGGTCTACAACGTTGGGGTGCAAAGATATAAGGAAAATAAAATCAGAGTTTGTGACAAAGACTCGATTCCTTTCTAATCAAATAAACTAAATATTTGTAAGTATTGATAAACATGAGAATGGCATTGCTCTTAGATCAAACCTTTTAAATATTGTTAATCCCTGGATCAAGTATATTGACTAAACCATACAGATACAAGAATTATTCTAGGATATTATGTAATGGTTGTATCATAAATGATAACCTCTGTTTAGTTAAATCTCATTTAAGTAATTTCTCTGATTTTGTTCTTTGTCTAAATTGACATACGGAGAGTTTTGAAAGCATTAAGATTACATAATATTTAATTTGTCTGAATTATGGACAAAAAGATTAGAATCATACGTTTATCTTTTTAATTTACTTCATATTCATAGATTTCATAATTTCTAAAAATACACCGTTATAGTCATCATAAACAAATTGAGAGAAGGAAATCTCTCATCTAAATAATGAAGTTTAAAGGAAGAAGTGTTTAAACCAACAAATTCGCAATTACTTTTTAAATTTTGATTTTACGCTGAACATGTCTAGGATCTTTTTTTAAATCGTACTAAAACAATTTATTACAAATACCCGGTGTTAAATCAACATAAGAATAATGAGATATTATACAAACACATCATTACAGCCGTTTACAGTATTTTTACAAAATGGTATTGATATGCTAATTTTTAACAAAGACTATCTCGAATTCGTCACTCAATTCCCATGTTTATTGGGACACCCTGTACTCTTCTTTGTTTTCTTTGCACCTTCAAAATGATTTCCCTATTTCAAAATGGTGTCACAATATCAATTTATGAAAGAAACCCACAATTATCCGAATTTCTAATATTTTACAAAGATATTAGACCATATTTTAGAAAGTGTGTAATTTTACTGTCGTTTATTAAATTCCATATTTTTGGGACCTCCAAAGCTCGACCTTGACCCTTTTTTAGAGATGATGAACATTCAACAATCTCTTTGATAATTTTCTTACCAAGAAGTTGATCAATGATCGGGAAGATCATGTGAAGATGAGATTTTGTCCCTAGATTGTGAAACAGCAGAATATTAGAGGCAGATGCAACATTCATCATACTAAACAGAATTATTATTAGGAAACTGCGAACATATGATCAATGATCATAAGATGATAATGATAACAAAACTGTATAGGCATGATCTCTTACAGAAAAGATATCATCAGAAAAAAGTAAATAATTAATCATGAAACCATAGACATGATCATTATTCTATGACAATAATTATGATCATGAAACTACAGATATGTTGTTATTCAGTTAAAATAATTATGATAACTATAGACATGATCGTTATTCAGTTAAAATAATTATGATCATGAAACTATAGACATGCTCGTTATTCAGTTAAAATAATTATGATCATGAAACTACAAATATAGTGCTATTCAGTTAAAATATTAGCATGTCCTAACAGCAATTATATTTTTGAAGAGAATAGGAATTCGGGATATTCCCCAGATTCCCAGGTATTAGGAGAATATCCCCGATTCCCAGGTATTTTGGGAATTCCTCAGATTCCCAAGTATTTGTCCAGAATTCCCCAGATTCCCAGGTGTTTCGGTTAATTCCCAGATTTCCTGGCATTAGGGATTTCCCGAAATTTCCTAAATTCCGTATGGGAATTTTTGTGTGGTATATTTTTAAGATTTGGAAATTTCTAAAATGACTGGATATTTGGGGAATTCCCTAAAACTCTGGGTACTGAGGAAATTTCCCAAATAACTAGACATTTGATAAATTTCCGATAATAAAAAAGAAATCAGATTTTTTAGAGGAATGAGGGGAATTCCCCAGATTCCCAGGTATTTAGGAATTCCACAGATTCCTTAAAGAATTTAAGGTTTTTTTTAATTATAGGAAATTTCCAAATGGCTATTAGCTATTTGAAAAATTTCAAAATGTTATATTTGTACAACGACTGTTGGGTGGATTTAAAAGATTAATTTTCTATGGGTATCTAACTGAATATTATAATACTATTAAGCAAGTTTCAAATTTTCAATCTAGTAATCAGAAAATGGACTAAATGGTATTGTTGTGGATCGCTTAAAATTACAAGAGCAGTCCCTTGAAATAATTGAAAATCTCTCTATTTTCTGAACTAGTTTCTACCTGATAACTATAAAACTAGTTTTTACCTGACAACTATAAAACTAGTTTCTATTTCTACCTGATAACTATGAAACTAGTTTCTACCTGATAACTATAAAACTAGTTTCTACCTGATTACTATAAAACTAGTTTCTACCTGATAACTATAAAACTAGTTTCTACCTGATAACTATAAAACTTGTTTCTACCTGATAACTATAAAACTATTTTCTACCTGATAACTATAAAACTAGTTTCTACCTGAACTATAAAACTTGTTTCTACTTGATAACTATAAAACTAGTTTTTACCTGATAACTATAAAACTAGTTTCTACCTGATAACTATAAAATCAGTTTCTACCTGATAACTATAAAACTAGTTTCTACCTGATAATTATAAAACTAGTTTCTACCAGACAACTATAAAACTAGTTTCTACCTGATAACTATAAAATTAGTTTCTACCTGATAACTATAAAACTAGTTTCTACCTGATAATTATAAAAATTACAGAAGCTGTATTCTTCATGATGGCTCCCTACTCTTTGCCTTGATTCTATCCAACAGTCTAGTTTTACCTATTTTATATAATCTCTAATGTTTACTTTAAAATTACTAATTTTCCTCTTGTTTTCCTTATTCAGCACTTCTCTTTGCCAAACATAGATAAAAAATACTTATCTTAAAATTTTTTGATATTTATATACGATGATGCGCAGGCTGCGTCAAAGGAGGAAAACATCACATTTTTCTGAAAATCTAAATAATTGTAGAGCTGACTTTCAATGTGCTGTCGTTGGTAGATTTTTGTTCACAATAACCCTGAGGCAGAAGCCAAAATGAGTTACGCGCAAGCTCCAGACAGATAGCATGTTTTATGCTGCTGTGCGTAACTCATTTTGGTTACTGCCTCAGGGTTATCTTGAAAATCTTGAGAAGACTACATCTAGTGTTCTATCTGTTATTGATAATTAATCTATGATTGTAAGGAACAAATATACGTGGTTTAGAGGATATCGTCGTTTTTCTAGATTAAAGTGAATAATTCTGGCAGATCCAAAGTTGCTTCTGTGGAGCAGAAATCCACTATTTGCTCAATTGTTTTTTTTGATTTAATCAAATCTTTCTGGTATTATCTTTTCTGGTCGAACGATTTTGAGCAATACTTTATTTTCGGTCATCTTGAAAAATCCAATTCCTCTTTGGTCATTTTCAATTAAGAATTACTAATCTTCAGGATAAATGCTTTTCAGAGATATCCTACTTTACTATATGGATGTGGAAGCGCAGAGAAACCCCATCAAGAACATGCACATGGTGAAGAGAGCAACCGAAAATCAAAATATCAAGAACTTCATATATCATCTATATGTCTCTAAGTCGAAAAATGAAAACCACAGCATATACCAACTTTTGGGATGCAAATGTTCAAACGAATTCGTCGATTTTGACGATATAAGAAATTGAAACCTCAAAATGTCGGCCCTGTATTCAAAGGATACGGTAAGTAGCTAGACAAAAAAAGAAATGTTAATTCTAAGTCGAAAAATGATAACTTACATCGTATACCGACTTATGAGCGTGAATAAATTAAAATGTTAAGAAAAATTCGTCGATTTTGACGATGGACAAAATGAAATCTCAAATGCCGGTCCTGTATTCAAAGGATATGGTAAGTATACCTTGATAAAAAACTGAAAAATTAAGTCTCTAAGTTAAAAAAAAATACAATTTACAGCGTATGCCGACTTTTGAGTGTGAATAAATGACAATTTTGAGAAAAATTCGTTGATGTTGACGATGGATGAACTTGAAATCTCAAAGTGCGGGATCTGTAATCAAGAACTGAAAAATTAAGTCGAAAAATTACAACTTACACCATAAAGTGACTTTTCAGTTTGAATAGATGATAATTTCATACTAATTCGTCGATTTGGATGAGCTTGATTTCTCAAAATGCCGGCATTCTGATCAAATTAAATGGTAAGTTGCAAGACAAAAACATAAAGATGAAATCCCTAAGTCGAAAAGGTAAGTAACTGATTTTCTAAGGCCCTCTTCTCCGCTGCGGTGTTCTTGATGGGGTTCCTTTGCGCGTCCACATCCACATAGTGAAGATATCTCTGAAAAGCATTTTTCCTGCTAAATTAGTAATTCTTAATTAAAATTGATTAAGAGGAATTGGATTCTCGGAAATAAATGTGCTCAAAATTGTTCGACCAGAAAAGATCAAATTTGTGGATAAATTATACAAACTGTATGCAATCCGATAATTTTCGGCGACGTAAATCCCAAACAAAAATAATTTTTTTACGAAAATAAGGATTTTGACCATGTTGGACTTTTAAAAAAAAGCAATTAAATGCCGGCTAGAATATCGAAGGCCATGTAAATCTGCAATTAATGTAATTTTCAAAACTGAGCAAAGTATCAACAAAAAAACTAACTGACTTTGTAAGTTTTTATTTTAAGAATTTTTGGAATTTTACAATAATTGCGTATTTGTATAGAGTTTCAATAGTTGAGCCGGCATTTCGGGTTTTCTAAGTCGTTCGACTTGAAAATCGTCAATTAAACAAAAAAAACACACAGTTTTTTGGCTAAATCTTCCAAAATACGGATAGTGTTGCGGAAGGGGGGGTCTTCACTGATTGTCGTGTCATTCCGGAACTTTCATGTTTTCTAGTCCTACCGATTAGAGTACCTTTCATTTTTCGGCGAAATTTAGTTGTTTAAAATCCACCGTGTAAACACCAAAAACACACGATTCACTTTTGGTATTTTTTAATCTGCTAATTAGAATCATTATGCATGTCATAATTATTCAGAATCAGTTTAGTTTCATACCCCCCCCCTCACACCTTCTTACCCCCTCATGCTTCTAAGACAACAACAAAAAAGTAATTTTTTTTTTCTGTCAACTATAATGACAGTTAATTGTTCACTTTTAAATTAAAGCCAAGACCACGGTCAAGTATTTGTCAGAACTGCGGATCACCAACTACAGCACCGTTAAAGTACGAAAATGGATAAACAATAACAATGTTGCAGTACATGGCGTATTTCAGATTGTACTACATTAAAACCATGGTTAAGCTTAAACTTTAAACATTGCACAACCTAAGCGTAAAACTTTTGTTTACACCTTAGCTTTAGCAACTCAACTCGATATCCACAAAGCACACTTTTAAATTAAAGGATTTTAAATTAAAGGATTTTAAATTTAGTTCCCAAAATAAACTTCTAACTATTATGTTTAATGTTTAAATGTTTATTATTAGTTTTGATTGTAGTATACAGGGTGTCCCAATAAACATGGCTGTTCAGTGACGAATTCGATATCGTCTTTTAAATAATTCTTTGATTTATTTCATGCTTCCTGGGACACCATGTACCTCTCATGTTTCCTTGGACACCATGAATCTCTCATGTTTCCTGGGACACCATGTACCTCTCATGTTTCCTGGGACATCATGTACCTTTCATGCTTCCTGGGACACCAGGTACCTTTCATGCTTCCTTGGACACCATGTACCTCTCATGTTTCCTTGGACACCATGTACCTCTCATGTTTCCTGGGACACCATGTACCTTTCATGTTTCCTGGGACACCATATACCTCTCATGTTTCCTTGGACACCATGAATCTCTCATGTTTCCTGGGACACCATGTACCTTTCATGTTTCCTGGGACACCATGTACCTCTCATGTTTCCTGGGACATCATGTACCTTTCATGCTTCCTGGGACACTATGTACCTTTCATGCTTCCTGGGACACCATGTACCTTTCATGCTTCCTGGGACACCATGTACCTTTCATGCTTCCTGGGACACCATGTACCTTTCATGCTTCCTGGGACACCATGTACCTTTCATGCTTCCTGAGACACCATGTACCTCTCATGTTTCCTTGGACACCATGTACTTCTCATGTTTCCTGGGACACCATGTACCTTTCATGTTTCCAGGGACACCATGTACCTCTCATGTTTCTTGGGACATCATGTACCTTTCATGTTTCCTGGGACACCATGTACCTGTCATGTTTCCTGGGACACCATGTACCTGTCATGTTTCCTGGGACACCATGTACCTCTCATGTTTCCTGGGACATCATGTACCTTTCATGCTTCCTGGGACACCATGCACCTTTCATGCTTCCTGGGACACCATGTACCTCTCATGTTTCCTTGGACACTATGTACCTCTCATGTTTCCTGGGACACCATGTACCTTTCATGTTTCCTGGGACACCATGTACCTCTCATGTTTCCTGGGACATCATGTACCTCTCATGTTTCCTGGGACACCATGTATCTTCATATTTACATTTTTGTTCCTGTTTTATTAGTTAAGTTTTGCCTTTCCATTTATCAAGTATCTGACATTTATTACATTGCACATTTTACAATGTTTGATCAACTGTAAAATGTATGCTTATTCATTTTTTAAAACTTTGTAACGTTTCGTAAGAATTCTCAATGCGATAGAGATACAATATAACACAGACTCTTTTAATTCTTCATCAAGCTTAAAGTGCATGTTTGTTAAAAGTAATATTTTTTCAAGCAGCCAAAATGTCTCCCTTTTTCACCTTAAAGGGACAGACCGGCTATGAAAGGTAGTTAAACTGAGTATGCAGTGTTGGGGACAATTCTTTAGGAATCCTCCCTTTCACCCTAACCATTAAAGTTAGAAGTCTAATTTTTTTTAATGAGCAGGCCTTGAAAATTTGGACTAGAGACATGTAACACACTCCCCTAGCTCAACTCTAAGGACAAAATCATGTTGGGGGGGAAACACGGTACACTCCCCAATCTATATTAGACAAAAGCAGCCCAATCGGGTAGGGTTAAAAACGACCAGCTGACCATAAAACCAGAGAACTGTACAGCAATTCGTAATGATATCATATGTAACTTTAGTATGAATTTACAGTTACGGCAAATCTTTGCAAAATGGCAAATCTATTTTGCGAAAATGACATATTTTTGTAAAGGTTGAACCATAATCTTGAAATAAATTTTACTTGATTTTGCTAAAAAGCTAATAAAACGGGACGGACATGCAAAATAAGTAATTATCAATTAAATCCCTGTTTTCGTTTGTTTGTGCAATTTTTCTTTGCAAACCCATTGCAAATACGTAATTTATTATATTTATTACTAATTTTCGGAGTGTTTTAAGTGTTTTAAGTCAAAGAACTTTTTGTTTTAATTTTAATCAAGCTTGTTTTTAACTCATGAATGAATCTTTAACCATTTTCTATTTTTGAGATAAAAATAGCATTTTCCCAAGCGGCAACTTCCAAAATGTGCAGTTTAGCAAGAGCGGCAATTTCCCAAGTCTTTCCTAGCCATAGCACTCGGCACCAATTGCAGCCGGCGGGACTTTGGGAAAAGGCACATTCGGGAAGTTGCCACTTGTGAAATTGTCGCTTAGGAAGTCGCCCTTGGGAAACTTGGGAAAATAACTTGAAGGCAAAGGGCTACGCACTTAACTTTTGAACGGCCATGGTAGGGTTTCTGAAAACCTAAATTCAATAACAAATTGAAGGTTTTCAGGACATGTGTTCATTTTTATACTTAGCACTCCACCTTCTTTAAACTATTTAGTCTATGATAATTGTAATAAGGAAAATAA